TTCTTATTGCCATTTCATAATGTAAGAGATTTCAAGAATTTTATTATTTTATTTAGTTTATGACAAACTATTAATCTGTCGCTTCTCTTACAACACAACCGAGCGAGGACTGAGTCAAGGCACGTATCATGGAAGCTAACTAAATTGATTTCACATTAACATGCATTCGTTAAAATGGTATCAGGCAATTTCATCAGGATGTTCAGTAATGCTACTTCTCTGATTGTTTCCCATATCTGAAACAGAGGCTCCTATAGTTAAACCTATTTCTGTAGCTGCTACTACAGTCCTATGAATTAGATCTCTCATATCAGAACCTGATGTTGAAGGCCCTGTCAATTCATAGGCAACAATCTGTTTCTATGCTGTTTTAAGGCCTCTAAGCATTACAATAGTGTAATGCTTAGCAACTGTAGGTTTTCCTAACGTAACATTTCCAATTAATGACTTAGACGATATATCAAAATCTTGATATGAGGCTATTTCCATTTCGTCAACTAAAAGGCAGCAGTTCCTATCAAGAGCATCCAATGAATGAACTTTTGTCTTGAGGAGAAAAAAAAAATTCTAAAATGCCGAAATTTATTTTTATTTCCCTAATCCTCCTGTTCAAGGTACTGTACGATGGTGCTGGATATCCAGTACTTCTGAGGTATTATATATCCATGTTTGCCCAAAGCAAATCGCATCTTCAGTCCTTTTATAATGGACTTTTCTGACCAGTTCCTTTTTGACTGCACAGCAAGGGCTTCCTACTTGCTCATCGGACAAAAATGATGTCAATTTTGCATCTTTTTCTTGAAGCTGTTGCTCAAGGAATTCTATTTTTTTTTTAACAACTCTTCATTTGAAGCAGGTAGAGTTTCCTAAATTCAAAAAGAAATAGTAAACATGTTATGCTGTGATTATTTTTTTAAACAATGGTTGGATGAATTAATATATTTGTAATAACAATGATTTTTTCAACAATTTTTTTTGGAGAATATTAAATAATTTACCACTTCAGTATTTTGGCTTAGGACATCTTACTTCTCTTATCCTCTTGTCAGTTACAGATGGTGGTGGATTTGGAATGCTAAAGAGTGTTGGTACTGCAGTTTTTTCTTAGTTTTTTTCTATCTTTGCATAGTGACTCAAATTGAGATTCCTCAAAATGATCCTGTAAATACATAAAGTAATAAAAAAAAAGTACACAAAAAAAATAAAAGTACAAAAAACAAACCACACAGTGAGGTTGTGCCAAAGGCAGCAAGCATGAACTGTAAGTAAGTATAGGCAATAAATAAATATGCAGGTAATTAAATTAGGCCCAGTATTATAAAAAAGTGAAACAATAAACAAACCATGTCTAACATATCAGCAGCAGCATCTTGTAAGCTTGGACAGAATTTAATTATCCAATATTTATTTTTTGCCTATAATTTAAGGTGTTCTTTAGAACATTATCCAAAAATTAAATGAAGTAGTGTTTTGCTATAACATTAAAAACAACTAAAATAAAACTTTATATTTCTTGCTATAGTGCTCTTACAATAGATAAGAAAATAAGAGTTCACTACACCCAACTTTTAAGATACTAGGCCGATAAATACATTTATAATTAGAGCAGACTATGATTCTTGTTATAATTGTAGTAATGTTTATTGCTCTAATTGAAATATTTAATTTTTAATTCTCTAATCATTCAAAACATAGCCCTAATTTCGGAGCACAGTGCCAACATGCATTTTAAAAAGCATCAAGGCCAGTTTAAACGACTATTTTTTAAATTACATCGGCACAGACATATCCAATTAAAGTTATTAAAAACTCTAGAACGTAGTTCAGTAGCTTTCTGAACTACGTTCAGATTAGATCAGTTAGATGTTTTTTATTTAGAGATGACAAACAAAATAACGCTTCAGAAAATATTATTTATCATGTATAAAAATCTGTTTTGTAACACAGATCAGTAATAACTGTTTATCAATGTCATGAGGATTTAATTTGAGGAGATCACATTCTTTAGAAGTATCAAATTCATGAAAGGATTTTGGCTTGGCCTTTGAAATTCATCATTACAGGCAGATTTATTTGATTGTTATGCATGCATTAAACACTACACATGCATTAAAAACACTACAATTATTTTTGAAAAGTACACATGCAGTTTCACAAGTTTTCTGTGCTTATTTGAATGTTCTGCATTCATTTCTAAATCTTTACTCTTATTATCTTTTTAAAATTGCCAAATTGTATAATACTGTGATTATAAATATATGGTACGTGCAATTATTGAAGTCAGATTATATATATTTTGTCTCATACTATTCAATTTATTCTATTGACTTAATGTCAAAATTCTGGAAGTTATTTTAACCAAAGAAACAGTAGTGGGCACCGTGCTAAAAACAACTCATCTAACTTTTTAACAACAGTGATTATAAAATAAAGAAAAAAATTATATATCATTCCAACGATATTGCAACTATAGTATTAATGTTACATATATCTTTAGCAAACATTCAGATTTTATCTTGAGTTTCCAAATTATTATTTATTTTTTAATAAATTTCAATATGCTAATGATTTTCATGTTACATTAGTATAAATTCCACAATTAGCACAGGAAAACAAAATTGCGCTTTATATTAGAAGAGAAATTTCTTTTCCACATTCAAAACATCCACATTGGCGATGTTTTGGCGACGGGTACATTAACCCTAGACTAATTTAATTATAGCTATTATTACAGAAAATTAGCAGATACTCAGGTTATTGTACACAAGAATTTCACTTTACTTGCACATTATAAACATCAGAGAAGATATTAAACTCTAAATGAAGGCGTAATTAACATTATACTTACTAAGCAAAGTTCAGCGCCTGGACCAGGTTTCCAATTGTCTCTTCGGCAATTATTTACCCATATTTTTCTTCTTTCTTCATTTTTAGGAAATTTTACCAATGTATGACCTTTCCGTGAATGATTTGAACAATTAATAGCTGCACATCCGCCCATTTTACGCCATTAAATCTCCCACTTGGGATCGTGAATGCCTGATGATTCAGCCTGGTATATAGGAGCCTTAAACTGAACTGTTTAGCACATTTACGAAGTTGTATAGGTGGCGTCAGTAGTCAAAAACGCCAGCGCCACCTACATTTCATTAAAATCAATCTTTCTTTTCAAACATGCATTTCACAAGGTGTTTCCATATTTTTGTCCATCCACTGTATCTCATTGATATATTATAAATATAGCTTAAACATGTTTTATGTGCATAGCCAAAGGGGGTGGGAAGTAAGCCTTGATTCAAAATCTGTTTTAAAGCAATAAGTAAATAAATAAAATACACTGGTTCTATTAGAATGTCAAAAAATACTGTTAGTATTCTATAAACAAATCCAAATTATCACATCATACTATATAACCCTGGTACAAAAGAAGAAATGTCTGATTAGGAACATACTCTATTTATTTGGTAAAAAAGAAGAGTAAAACATATGCAACATCCCTTTATAGTAGCCTTAGGTACGGCGAGTACGTTTTAGGAACATGCCATCCGGACCTCACAGCTACAAACTTTCCGCGCATGCGTCGTTGACGCATGCGCGTAAGACCTTTACGACTGCGAATACGCGTGCGTAAAATACGTTAACGAATGCGCGTTTAATGTATAACGAACGGTATAAGCTAAGCTAAAATAATCTAATTCAGTTAATGTTGCAGATTGCGTTATTCCTTAATCTTAGAATTGGATTCGGCTTATTATTTTTTGCAGACTGTTAGAGCAATTTTATAAAAGTAAGCTTGAACTTTCATTTATGTCAAATAGAATTTCTGATATATATTTACTAATATGTAAAGGATCTACAAAGCGAAAGTATGTTTCGAAGTCTATTAAACAAAAAGTGGAATTGCTGCAAATAATGGATAAAAGCATATCCTTTGTTTATCTAAACTTTAACGTTTGTATATCTAAACTTTGTTTATCTTTAACGCCGCGGCGCGCGATGAATTGGAAGTTGATCTTTCAGCGCTATCCTTATCTTCAAAGCAGATGTTTTTATTTTATTTGGCTTATAATTCCTTACTAAATGTAATATTTCATCTCGATGAACTCCGTCTTTGATATGATTTGAATCAAATTCCTCGTCATTATAATTTGCTTCCGATAGCGAAGAAAGTGACAGAGGTTATTGAAAACGAAAAAAATTCGATTGACAAATTAGTCGATATTCTCGACGCAGCAATTATAGGACTTGAACAGCGGAACTTTGAAACTGAACAAGAAATTATGTATGTTGATAGAATTAAAGAGAATGTATTATCACATTAAAAAACGAAGCAACTTAAACAACTTACATTGAAAGAAGAGTTTAATAAAGTACACAAATAAATATTGAGCTTTTTTTTTTTTTTTTTTTGTAAATTTTGATACCCTTTAGATCATAATTGTTCTTTATTTCATAAATTACGGTTTCATATTTTTAATTTTATAATTTCTGCATGCCATCTTACCAGATTTAAACTTATGATCTATAATCCGGAAAAATCGATAATCCGAAATCGCTGAAGTCCCAACGAGTCCGGATTAACGACTTTTGACTTTATTCGAAAAATGTCTCTTCTGCCTAGTGATGGCTCGGAAACTAAATGTGAATGTTTTCACCGAAAGAATTTTAATATTTAACTGTTCAGTTTTCATTGTTCGCAATGAACGCTGTCTAAATAGCAGATCTTTCATTTTCAGCATTTAAAACAGTTATCATATGCGTGAAAAATATTATTTATATATAAAGTGAAAAAGGAACCACTCTCACATTGGAATTTTCCGATAATTGATAAAAACAACGCCAAGTGGCGCATACTAGCCAAATGTAGTAGCCCAATGATCATTTGAAAATAAATACATTTCACGATATCCGTGAGCATGCGCATAACATGACTTCCGTAAGGAGCCGCTCACAGCCATCCCTGTTTTGAGCTGCTAACGGCCCACAGACTTTCTTTGGCTTTTCCACGGATTATACTCCGTGGGCTTTTCTTTTCTCTTGTCTCTTCTGTTAACTGTAACCAGCATAGTTTTTTTATCTCATATCGTGCGTAATGTGTTAAAAGACAGAAAATTTTACTTTACTGTATTAATAGGCTATGTCAAGGCAGGTCTTTTTTGGTAATTTTATTTCACTTATTTGTTTTTTAAAAAATGTGATAATGATGTGTTGAAATACTCTGTATTTGGTGTAGTATTTTATTATGATTGATGCAATTGCCTGCATCTGTTATCAGTACTTTTATTGCTTAAAATGTTTCCTTATTTTAAGAATATTAAACTCTCCTTTAACTTACTTGTCATAAATTTAAAATCTGTATTTCTTTTTTCGCTTTATTATGTGCAAGTAAATATATTTGAATTAGAACAAGGCATTGCAAATCGCATGGCTTTATGATTCAATATTCAAAGTAGTTGCACTTTGTAGGAAGGCGTTTTTTTTCTTGTTATCAGATACGTATAGCTTGCTTAGATAGTTATTATTAAATAATATGTTAATGTTACGAAATTTTTGCAGAACACGACATTCGAGGACCAAGTACTAGTAAATATAGATCAGTTCCAGCAATGGGAAGACAAAAGAAATTTCGTGATTCATATGCAAGAGGCAAGTATCTTTCTAACTTTTTTATATTAATTTTGAATTTCTGTCAAATTTTAGATAAAATTATATTTATTTCGCCAAAAGTCCTGAATAATTTAAATTGAATATTTTGAGTAAATTGCCAAATTTAAAATTTAATATAAAAGAATAAATCAACGCCTCAAAATATCGTCAGCAGAAACTCTTAAAAACTGGTGAAATTGTAAGATTTTATGAAAAAAAGCATGTTAGTTTATCAGGTGAAGACAAACATCATAACTTTAAAATAGATACATTTTAATTTCGGATATATCTCCATAATCAAATCTCAGCCATTATCTGACTAAATGTGTAGTTGTTGCTTACTATAGTGTATATGTTTACATTATTTGCAAGACTGCAGTTTTCTTTTTTTGCATTTAGAAACTATCATTTTCAACTCGTACGTGGAGTTGGGATAAGTTTTTTACATTTGCTAAAATTGTTTTATGATTTGTATTATGTTACACTATTAATTATTTTATGGATATATTATTCTTAAAAATGAATAAGCCTAAAATGTCAGTAAGTGTATCCATAGTATCTAAAGTAATTTTCATCCATATATAAATCTTTCAGCCTTATAATTAATATGATGATCACTTAACTAGACTTCTGATATATTTTATGTGTAATGGACAACAAAATGCATATTATTTTTTTGATCCTTACAGCAATGAAAAAATAAGCTAAGAAAAATAACTAATATGCTTCAGTATAAGTAACTTTTAAATGATTAATCTGGAAAGGCTAGGTAAAACTTTCATCAGATCACAGTTTATGTAGTGGTAATTAAAATATATCAAATGTCAGAATTTTTTCTTGTGTTTATTTAGTGCCATAAATTTAAATGCCTACTTATAATACTATTAAAAGATTATTAAATTTGCATGCTAAATATTTGGTTTTCATTTTCAATTACTGTACAGTAATGTGGCTGTAGAGAAAGTCTGGAAAGAGCATCCTAGATAAAAATGAGATAGGAATGCTTCTAGAATGGCATCTCATTTATTAAGATTAAAGTTATATGCTTTCATAATTATGATGCCCTAAAAGTTATTGTTAAATGTTACAAAAAATGGTCAGATATCAAAAGCAATATGTATTGAGATATAAAACAGCTGATGAGCACAGACATATTTCAAGTTAAATTTAGGGAAGGATTTATAAAATGGGGTTAAAATGATTGAACAGAGTTTCATTGATAAACTAAACATTTCTATCTGTCAAGTTGCTTGATAACTGAAAATATTAACATTAGTTGAATTTGGAGATACATTGAAAAGCTGATTTTCAGTTTATAGATGCTGCATTAATTAAAGCATGGTTCATAAATAATAACAAATAATTAGGGTAAAAATATATTTCAGGGTTCCCCTTGGTGAAAATTGGCGATTTTTTGGTGCCATTCCTGTTTATGTTCAATGCTCTCCCCAGTAAAATGGCATCCAAAACATAATGCAATAAAGCATAATTAAAACAAAACAAAAAAATATATATATAATCTCTATTAACTACATTTTAAATCAAACAGTGAAATAACATAAAAAAAGGAATGCATGTTATCTCATCTACGCACTACAAGAAGGAAATACTGACTTACCTTATTTAGAAATTTCTGTGTCTTCAGTCTGTGGCACACGAAATTGCTTAACAGCATCCAAAAGCTTTCTATTAGAATCTGTATACTGCTATAATAAATTGACAAAAGTGAGCAGTTTTCTGAAAGTAAAAGATGCATCACAGGTAGCAAGAAAGGAAATATTTTGGGGAGTATATTTAAAACACTGATCATGACCTTGAACATTTCACTTTTCACTTGTAATTATTCATTGTTAATGAGTCTAGTTCGAGCAACACATGTATAATAGTTGCATCAATTCAAAATCCTGCCAAATGAGAAGTGCATTTCTGTCGTATGTTTTCTTTATGCAAAAGGTGAGCATGTAGTGGATATTCACAAAGAAAGTGTTTCTGTCTGTGGGATCATTATGAGTTGATAAAACATAACTAAATGATTTTGTACCTTGTGTAGGTGGGACCAGTGTTCATCACAAGCACAGAACGAGTAGGTTTTCTCTTGTCTGTGATGCTCTTCTTCAAAGAAGAGAGGATGCAGTTTAACCAGTTAGGCATTGAAATAATTGCACAAAATCATTCAGAAGTGTCTGTGACAACTTTTTATAAAGCTGTGACTAGCTTTAGGGTGCAGGAAATTGTGTGCGTGTTGGATTCCGAGGATGTTAACAGAAGAGCACAAAAAGAAATGAATGGGCGTCCCACTCCACCTCCTCACATGCTGTGCTGAAGTGGGTGATAAGTTTCTTAACCTTTTGATGGTCATTAACAAGCGCAGCTACCATTCCGGTTATGCGCAGCAGTGGCCGCAAGTAAACACAATTTGCATTATAAATTTATGACTGATGTGGCATGTATTGGGAAGAAAGAATTGTTGAATATCGCAGCCATCAAAGGGCTAACCATATTGTTACTTGTGATGAGACATGCATTTGTCATCATGCACCAAAATGCATCTAACAGTCTATGCAGTGGTACCATGCAAACTTCCCAAAAGCTAAGAAATTTAAAACTTCAATTTCAACAGAGAAAAATCATTTCTGTTTTCTGGAACAGACAAGCATTCCATCTGATTGTCTTCATATACCATGGCATCACAATTACGGCTAATGCATATTGTCCTAGATGGGTAGTTCAAAATAAAACTTAAGGGCATGCTGACAAGATCGAGTCTGCTTCATGACAACACTCATTCTCACACAGTGCTTCAAACAAAAGCACTACTCTGAAGTTTCAAGGGGGAACTTTTAGGCAATCTGCTATTTAACCTGGTCCTTGTATCCAGTAACTTCTTTCATTCCTTTGCCTGAATAAAATCTTGCAGTACAAAACTTTCACGATGATGATGATATCAAAACTTAGGTTGAAATGTAGTTTGAACAACAGACATTAGACTTCTGTGACTGTGTTATACAAACTCATGTATCTAGACTTGACGAATGCTTGGACAATGGTGAAAACTGTGTCGGGGAAAAAAAGGCAGTAACTTTTAATGGACGTTTTATCAGTTTAAAATAGTTTTAATGAGTATGAAGCATTGTATTTTTACTTTTTGAAAAATGCCTCATATGTTAATAATAAAAAATAATTGCAGTCAAAAGTCTTTAATCCGGACTCGTCAGGACATCCGCGATTCTGGATTATCGGTTTTTCCGGATCATGAGTTTAAATCTGGTAAGATGGCATGCAGAAATTATAAAATTAAAAATATGAAAACGTAATTTATGAAATAAAGAGCAATTATGATCTAAAAGGTATCAAAATTTACAAAAAAAAAAAAAAAAAAAAAAAAAAAAAAAAAAAAAAAAGCTTAATATTTATTTGTTTACTTTATTAAGCATTTCTTTCACCACGCGCATGCGTAAAGCATACATTACATATAGTCTAAATTAAAAAATTGCTATCAGAAAACTATTTGATGTGTATTCGTGATATTTATAATGACGAGGAATTTGATTTAAATCATATCAAAGTCGGAGTACATCGAGATGAAATACTACATTTAGTAAAGCCGAATGACATAAAAACATCTGCCCTGAAGATAGGATAGTGCTGACAGATCAACTTCCAGTTTATCCCCCCCCCCAGAGCAGCGTGAAATTGATAAATAGATTTCGGGATGGTTAAAGAAACAAGGAATATGCCTTTATCCGTTTTTTGCAGCCATTCCACTTTTTGTTTGATGGACATCGAAACATGCTTTCGCTTTGATGATCCTTTGGCAGCTCCAGAATCGAAAATTCTTTTTGACATAATCGAAAGTTCAAGCTTACTTTTATAAAATTGCTCTAACAGTCTGCAAAAAATATAAGCCGGATCCAATTAGAAGATTAAGGAACAATGCAATCTGCAGCATTAACTGAAATAGATAATTTTAGCTTAGCTTATACCGTCTGTTATACATCAAATGCGCATGCGTAAACGTATTATGCGCATGTGTAAATGCTTTATGCACAGAAAGTTTGTAGCTTTGAGGTCCAGATTTTTCAGTTATAGTCTAGTGTTTCCACATTTGTGGTTGGTGTGTTTAACAATACAAAATATAGGTATTCAAGTTGTGTGAAGAGGATTTAAAAAATTTTTCTATGAATGTGTTTTACTGATAAGATGGGTTAGTTTCATAAAAATGATAGTAACAGAAGGAGAAATATTACAAAAGGAATGTAAAACAAAGTTTTGCATTTAAATATTGATAATCTTATTGCTCTATAAATTCTACTTTAAGGTTAATTTTTCCTCCAGTTCCAAAATAATAAGTTGGTTTATAACCTGCATGCCACATGTTCCACATGTTGGATAATTCAGAGCTAGAAATAAAATTTTATCTCTTGTTTACATTACTGCAAACTAAGCAATCAAAATGAGTTAAAAGCAGTGTTATTCCTAGGATTTTTTTGAAAGAGTAAAAATACTCCTTGACTTTTTTAGGAGGAGTAAAATTCATTTATGAGGAGTGAAACATAGAAATAGCATAAACTACATATACAGAGACAAATATCTTATAAAAAACACTTTTTTAATGAACAAAATGAAATACGAAAAAAAAAAAAAAAGATGATGCTATTTTGGTTTTTGACAATTATAGCATATGTTAAATAATACATTAAATACAAAAACAAAGTTAACAGTGAAAACACATATATTTTATTGGTAATCAGATTCTAATGAAGTATTTAAAAACTATTAAGAAAAGTATTGTTTTTCAAAAGAAATTGTACAACAGCTTCATAATTCAAATGTCAGGAAGCATCTAACAATAAATATGACCAACTCATTATTCTGTTTATCAGGACCGGATTAAAAAATGTATATATGCATGTATAAATGAATTTGTTCATGTATCCATCTATGCAAGCAGCAGCAATCTAGCAAGCAGCAATATGTATGTGTGTGTAATACATACATATCCGATAACAGAACAGTGCCATAAGCAGCTAAAAAACTGAGAATCGATTAAAAGAAAAACGAAGTTTTAAACTGTGAAAAATAAGCAATATGATTTTAAAAATTTCATCAATAAAATGACCAAAAATGATATTAAAGTCTGTAGTTTACAGAATCCACAGAAATTGTCATGATGTCAAAAACCATGCACAAGCTTACGAATTTGACATTACAAACACGTCCTTGTGATCTCCAGAGCTGTAGCTAAGGTTTTCAGTGCCCAGGGACAATTAAAAATTTTGTGCCCTTTTCTGTGTGCCAAAATGAAAACATTTCATTCTAAAATTGAGTATCATCAATTTGGCGTCCCCTGAAAGCTCTGCCTGGAGACAGATGACACTCTTTGCCCCACCCTAGCTTTGCCACTGGTGATCTCTGATGTCGCATGCTACTTTTTACTTCTGTTTAGTTCTTCTCCTCTGCTCGAAGATTTCTGGCAACAGAAGCCTGGAATATTTTTTTTTCCCCTGAACTATATGTTGTAATAGAAATTGTTACCTAATAAAACTGGAATTTTTAAAATTATTTAAGACTAGAAATTCATGACATTGCAGTGTTTTATAGTTAAATGCTGTATCATAATTTGATGCAGTTTAGAATGTGGATGAATGCAGATAATTAAATATTGATGTAGCTCTGCATTATTCAGTATTTAGACATGTAAATGTACATAAATTTGATATCGGGCACTAGTTTTAATATATAAAAATTTGCGAGTAATATAATTTGTAAATAATAAATAAAATTTGTAATTAAACTATTTTAATTCATAACTATTTATTTGCGATAATTATATATAATGTTCTTTTTGTCTTTTTATAGGTTACTTATTGAATCACATGTGTATGGTATTGCAAATTAAATAGATTTGAAATGTAACTCAATGGTTATGCTGTCATATTTGTCTCATTTCTTATTCATTATTTTAAAGGTGGAAAGCTAGTTGCTGTAGATTTAGATGGAGATGTGGATATGAACTCGCATACTTTTACAGAACGTAGATTGTAAGTACATGAAAGTTTTACTGATTCAAAAATTGTTCATATGAAAATATTTCTGACACACACACAAAAAAGGGGGGAAAAATATTGAGAACAAACATGTTATTAAAAAGCGACGAAAAACATGTTTAGCTTTTCTAAGCTGAAGTATTTCAGCCAATAATAATAGCAGTTAACAATCAGATAATTGTAATGCTTTTTGAATCTTCCAAAGCATGTCTCTTATGAAATAGAACCTTTCTTGAGAAAAAGTCCTTTCTTATGTTGTGAATTTTGCTAAATCTTCTAACTTATGTAATACTTTTATTGTATTTTTCATAATGAAATTAAATAATGATAAAATTTAGATGGAAAAATCGCTTGAACCCTAGCTATTAACTTACAAATCAAAGGTCCACAGACCACATTTTAAAGAATTACTGCTTGAAAAGACTTTCATAGAATTAAGGTTGAATCCTTCTGATTTAGATAAACCGTAAAAGTAATTTATGTGAAAAATTTTAAAGATATGTTATATAAAGATGCCGATTAAAATAATTAAAAATTATATTTAAGTTTTTTTTGAGGGGGGGGGGAGTGAGTACAGTAGAAAACCAAAATTCCATGTGGTCTAGAAGCTGTGAATTTATAGATTTCAAATCATGAATAAAAAAGATGCAAAAAATCAATAAAAATATAAAGAAAAATCTGACATCATATGAACTTCTTGTACGGAATATTAAATTATACGCATTTTTTCCCTGCACTTCATTTAAACTTATTTCATCGAATTTCATTAGTGATAAATTTCTCATTCAATTAACTAAGTTCTCACTTCGCAACAAGGTAAAAATAAATAAAACCTCAAAATATCTTCATTAAAAATGCAAACAGATAGAAAAGACTAAAACACCAAATACAGTTAAAAAAAATTTTTTTTTTAAATGTTGCAAATAAAATTAGAGTTTTTACGTAAAAACAAGCAATTCGACCAGCAGAAAAAAAAGGCAAAATTTTCAGTGCAAAAAACAGAAAGTTTACTTTTGGTCCCACTTGGCAAAAAGACATTGAAGGTGTAGAAACTCACTTCAATAATTATTTTGCTAAGTTTTAAATGTAAAAAAATATGGCTGTTATGGTGAAAAAAACTAGGCTTAGCTGCACTTAACAGTTTTTAAATTGTTGATAATTCTACAACTATTGCATGCAAATTAATTAAAGGCATAAAAATCTTAACGGAAGATAAGAACAATATAATTAAATTGTTTTTAAAGCAAAAAATGTGTAATTTACCAACATAAAAGCGGGGGAAAACAGCTTACCGAGCCGAGTAACAGAATGGCTATACGTGTGTACTTTGTTGCATACTTATATACTTTTGGTGCAGCCAATTAGAACCAAAAAGGTTGATGCACAGCTAAATTTTATAGCAGTCCTATATACAAAATTTCAACATTCTGAGGTTGCTCATGTTTGAGTCATGCAAGACACATAGGTACATACGGACGTCACGAAAAAATTCTTCCGAATTCATTTTAAATCAATTTTTTTAATCCGTTTGGGAAAAGTGTCCTTTATTCTGTCTTTATGTACAGATGTCACACAAAAACATGGTTAACTTCATTCGATATCGATCAAAATGGATATTTTTATTGAAATATGGTACCTGGAATTTTTCGTGATTACGTTCATTCCTTTACTTTGTACAAGGAAGTAAAAATGCATAAGCACAGTTTCTTTTTTTGTTTTTAGATGCAGAAATATGTTTAAATATATGACATGTATCATAATTTTATTTAAAAAAGGTGGAAATTCAAGTAAAATTATTTTTTATATTTGAGTCTCTTTCAAATTATGAGTTATTTGTTGGTCAGTTATAGAGTGTTGTAATTTAAAATTAATTTTAATTTATATATTTTTTGCTTGCAAAAAAAAAAAAAAACTATTGAGTTTATTCAGAACTTGCCATTTTGATAGGATGGAAAAGTACTATTTTTAATTCTAGTCGTAATAAAAGTTAGAAATTTGGTACTTTTCTGTTAATCCTTTGTGGCACGGTGTGCCCAGTGCAGGCACACCTAAAAATTTCCTTCTGTATACACAGAAAAATTGAATAAAAAAAGAATTTATAGGTATAGGTTACTCTGAACCTTCTTTATTTAAAGTAGAGGGCAGTTCAACACAAACCAGTCCATATATTTTAGCCTTGTTTTGTTTTTTAAAAACCTCATTTTTCAAAGAAATCTTGCAGATTTTTTTTAGGGTATCAAGGGAATATTTTGAAAAGAAATTTCTCTGTTATTTTTTAAGAAATCTCTGTTCTGTAGGAATATTTTTTTGGCTGTATGCTAAACTCCTTATTCTATATTAGTTTAAATTTTTGCCTTTAAATCTTGCCTAAAATCGAACGGCGAGCCCAAGGTGTTCCCAGACCGGCTCACCGAGAATCTAGGATAACTGAGAGACTATTCTTTGTTTGTCCGCATCTCATCGGTGAGTTCATTGACAATAGAAAGATGGGTCAACATCTGTGTTTCATTTCTTGTTTTTCTCTTTTTTTCTTTTCTCTCTCTCTCTCTCTCTTTTTTTTTTTTTTTTTTATTTATTTGGTGTGTGTGTGTGGGGGGAGAAGAGGACATTTGGTTATCAACTGACAAATTGTTGGGGTGATTTTCTGAAGGTCAAGGGTAATTTTATCAGTTAGCTGTTTGGTTTTTTTCACTAGAGCAGCTATCTTTATTGCTTTCGTTGAAAGTTTCGCTAGCGCTAGGTGTAACAGTTTTGAGGTGTAGACATTTATTTAATTTTATTTTATAGTTTATTTTTTCGAATTTTTAACTGTTTTCCAAATGGATCGGTGAGGGCTGACCTCAGTGCTCCAGAAATGGTCAGCCCGTACTGATCCATTTGGAAAATAAAATAATAAAAAATCTAAAAAGTACCACCATGGGAAAAAAAAAAAAAAAAAAAAAGAAGGTGTAAATATGAAATATAAATAATGTAAATATCATATACCCAAGTTACTTTTTCTTTTCCCCCATCCTTACGCATGTAATCATCATATAACCAAAAAAGAGCTTTTGGGGGGTGTAGAGTAGCAGGTCTCCCCGTGGCACACCCTAGGTAATGTTAAATCTGCTATATATTCAGAATATAGTGTTTATTAATCGTAGGCAAAATCTCTTGCTCTTTTACGCGCTTCCCAGCAGTACTCGTTTCAGCACTCTTTTCGAAGCTCTATTCAAACAGTGGGCCTGTTTCGGGCACACCCACAGAATTAAAACTATAAGTGCTATCTTCACAAAATTTTACTTCTGTACTCCTCTAGGCCTAATTAGACTGCCTACCCCCTCTTTTTTTTAATCGAAATTCCAACTTTAAAAGGTAGCATTTCGGAAAGGATTAATGAAACGGCAGTCATCACCAAACACAAGTGTTGTTCTGATTGTAACTAGAATTCATGGTCCTTTCTTTCTCTTGTCATGATCTTACCACTATGACATAAATGTCGGCTGTTTCACTATGGGTAATTCCTTTTTCTTAATAATAATAAGAACAAGCTTTTTAAAAGACTCCTCTGTTTCTTCATCAAAATCTGGGACTAAAAATGTGCCTAGAGCAAAAGAAAATGGTGAATAACTACATCTGATGTAGTTTGCAGTGAAAGTATGCTGTCATTAATTCACTTATACACATCTTGGTTGGTACTTATGCCATGCCCCCTCCCCCAAATTTTTTTCCCGAAATTCCAACAGTTAAAATCGTGCAAAATTAATTTTTCAGTTAAAGTTAATTTTAATGATTTAAAGCAATTTTTAAAAGCAATAATTAATGCGGTATAGTAGCTTGCTTCAATCATAAATGAGGTGTTACCAGTATTGTCCAAATATCACCCAGAAGAGCCAAAGCTATCTGCATTTCGTTGTTGACATCTGACAAGCTATAGAAATATTTTATGTAAATGCTGTAATGTTTATATTATTTATTTATTTTTGTGCATTCTATGTGATATTGTGAATTAAAATTTGCTTGTTTTTATTTAGTTTTAAAAATCAAATTTTTACCCTTTTAAAGTGTCTATTTGCCATTATAAAAACAACAGTTTTTTCTGAGATTCTATTTGTTATGAGAAATCATTTTGGTGAGCAGTACAGATTAATGTTGAAGTAGAACCTAATGTTAGTGTGATTTATTTTTTATACTTTGATTATATGAATGATTTTGAGAGATATTAAGAAATAATTATGTAGATGAATTTATTTCATATTAAAAATACAGTAGATTTAAGTTTTTACAAACTCCTGATAAACAAATTATTGGTCCCCCCTTTTTTATATGTAATGTGTAAAATTTAGTCCACTGAGTTAAAAGATGTTATGTGAATGATCAGATAAAGTGGGAGGGTTAATATGTTAAAATTTAAAGAAAAAGGATAATCGTGTAAAAAACAGTATAGAATAAAAATAATTTCTAGGTTATTTAAATTATTATGAAAATAGTGATAATCTTCCCTGAAGGGCTTAAAGTAATGAATTGTTTTATTTTCTAATGAATTCATATATTTAAAGATTTGAAATGTAGAATTTTGCAGTTCAACAACTCTTTGACTATGGTTTGGAAACTCTTTGAGTTTATATTTTGAAGATTATATTAAATGTGGATTAATGAATAATACTGAGGCATTAAGAGTATGTCAATGTGCAACATATAGTTTTAGTATTAAAAATAAATTATTCATGGTATTCAATTTCAACACTAAAAATTTAAGTATTGGTTTTCTTTATTTATATTGAAGACATGTCATAAACATAAAATTGGGTACTGTTCTATTATCGGGACCAAATTCAGAAAGGTCTGCATATTTGCATGTATGGATGAATGTATGTGTATGTACACACATATATGCACATTCATCCATCCATCCATACATACATTTCTGAATCTGGTCCCGATGACAGAAGATTGCTAAAAATTGTACAAGAAGTTTGGTTTATATGTATTTAATTTTCTAGAAAAATAATAAGTTGGTATATTTAAGAGAAGATATGTTTTGTGTTTTGTTTATTTTTAAACTGCTATAAAATGTTTTCTGTTTTTAAAGTGTTTGGTTTAAATACTTAGTAGTAAAATATTACAAATTTGAAAAACGCACAAATAATTGTATTTTTTAGTAATCCCTATGGTGGTCAAAGACATCATGGAAGCAGAAAGAAACATAAGAAGCAAAGTGGTAACTTATTTTTGTTTTGTTTTTGGGTCAAGGCTGGCTCTGCCAGTAGTGCAACATGTACATATGTATAGGGCAGTGTTTGCGAACCTATGGCACGTGTACCACAGTCAGCACGCAACTAAAATATTACGTCCTTAATTAATAATCACAATAAAATAATAAGGCACCAGTAGTTGACCAGCTAAGGGAAATTTGTCATTCACTTGTCAAGCTGTGGAGACGGTAATTAATTTTTTCGTAGTTAACGGAATTCTTCAACTGCCTACCTAGCTAGTGATGACCTTCTTTACCGAAAAAAGTTGTAATATAAAATTATTATAAATAATTTAGAAAAAAACGTTTCTTCTCCAGTAGTTGACCACCTAAAAATAAAGAGTAAACCACATAACTCACAGGTCATTTTGTTCAATAATACATGCACCTAATAAATATTTGATTGCCGAATTGAATAATACAAATAAATAACTGTACTTACACAAAAACCGAAGTCAATCCCTAACCGAAAACGGTAATTGGGCGGCAAGAATTAGCAGGATCTGGTAGAGCACAAGTTTCACGGTTAGCCATTACTTAACTGATAGGCATATCAACTGGGAGTTGATAAAATGTGATACTAGATGGCAGTAGCGTCTTATAAGCAGGTTTGTTGTGAACGCCAAACGAAAATATCCCTTATTTTGAAGCTTTTCCCCTGAAATAGTCAACTACTAGTGCATAGTCAACTTTTGGTCCCTCTACCTTACTATGTAATTTAGTCTGTTCTTTAATGTTTCACTTACTTACTTATCGCATAATGCCACTGACATCCACTGACAATATACATGCCACTGACCATAGAAATTATGTACATATTTATTGACCCAATTTATGATGTTTCATTTGTTTGGGCCAATCATATTACTTGTTACGTGGAAAAGAATACAGCAAAGTTAAAGCTGCTCGTGTTTGCCAAACAAATTCAAATTTATTGCAGACTGCCTGTTAGTTTTAATATTTTCATTGTTAGATTCCAGTTTTCAGATCTAAGCATTTTGAGGTAATTTATGAATAATTCTAATTTAATATCTTGAACGGAATGGCATGTAGGCTCCAAAAAGTTTCGCCACCACTGGTATAGGGTGTCTAATTTTGAAGGGTGATTAAAAATGATTTAGCTAGTTAACATTCAAATATTTATGTAAAAAATCAAAAGAAAGTATTTATTCATTTCTGTTTGAAACAAGACATTAAGGTGCTGTTTTGCATAGTAAAGCTTTGTTTTAGTGCATATTTTTGGAATTCTAATGCATTGTACTTATTATAAAATACTGTTGTATTAAATATTTTGCTGTTATATTTTTGTGTACACCTTCAGATTGAAATTATAACATGGGCAGAGTTGCCAACTCTCACGGTTTTTAACGTATTTCTCACGATATTTTCTTATTCTTAAAATTTCTCATGATTTTTATGTAGCTTGGCTTCATACTTCGTTATTTGTTCGCAGAAAAGTGGTTTTTGGTGTCTGAAAGTGCGTGTTTTTTCTAGATGCATATAAAAATGACCGAAGTCCTTTCATCCCTGAGATATGGCGCATTTCTGCATTGTGTATGAGAGTCTGAAACACATGTCCAAAAACATTGTTTTCCAGTTCTCCAGTGAAAATCAAGTGCTGTTGCAGGTTGCTAGCATATATTAGCCAATGAACCCAAAGCAAGATTGCAGTGTTTATCTAATTTGTCTTGCCAGTGAGCAGCGTGACACGTGCTTCCCTGAAACAGTTTAAGAAACTGCAATCTTTTGTGCTAGTTATGTTTGTGAAGAAAAGAAAAATGCTCGTGTACTTTTCAAAAATCGTACACAGATGACTTTCTTCTAATATTTTGTCAAGGAAATTTTATTAAAATTATAAATAATATTGCAATCTGCATAGTTTTACCATTGCAATTTTTCGATTTCACATGGTGGAAGGATTAACTAAACATGTACTGGGAAAAAATTTAAAAAATTAAGCTTTTCTGTGGAAACAAAGGACAAAAAGTTAATGCAGCATGCCTGTTCTCTACCTTTTTACTGGAGCACACCCTGCCTCTGAATGCATTGGTTCATGCTTCAGTTTTTTAGAAAAATGTTTCCTGGCAGTAAAATCGCTAAGAAATAATCAAGTGCAAGGACAAAATCTGTTTAAAGTTGAAAACTATAAAAAGTTTTTAAACATGTTTATTTTCAGATATTAATTGGTTACTATAAGGGCGAGTCAAATGAAAGTGAGCCAACCCCTCCTCAGCAAGAATGGTTCGGTCCATCATCTGCGGCGCATGCGCGTAGCACAGAGACAGCCTTCATTTACGAAAGTGGCGCGAAAGTGTGAGGTTAAAGTTCTTTAAGGTGCTCTTACACTGCGTTGAAGACAGTAGCATGACATAATGGATGCTAACATAATAGGAACATAATAGGAATAGCATGACATAATAGGAACAGCGTGGTGTGGTCAGGTTTTTGACAGCTGAAGGTGTTTCCCAACATGAAATTAGTCGCCGTATGACTGCTGTGTACGGTGAACATTGCATCGCATTGGCCACTGTGAAGCGTTGGAGCAAACGGTTCAGAGAAGGACGTGAAAGTTGCAAAGACGATCCAAGACCGGGCCAAAGCCACCTTGCAATCACCCCCGACACAATTGCACAGGTTGATGAGCTGATTAGACAAGAACGGAGGATAAGCATTACTGATTAATTACTGATTGAATTTGCTAAACGTGGAGAGACTATCAATAGTTCGCGATATTGTGCAACGCCGGATCGGCTGCGTGTCGCAATCAAGAACAAACGACCTGGAAGATTGACGAATGGTGTGATCTTGCTACATGACAATGCTCGTCCCCACGTCGCTGATGTGGTTAAGACACAACTGGCAAAGTTCAAGTGGGACACGCTGCAATATCCTCCATTCAGCCCAGATTTGTCGCCATGCGACTTTCACATTTTCAAGAAACTGAAAAAACATCTCAAGGGTACCAGATTCCTGTCGGACGACGTCGTGAAGGAGTCGGTTACAGACTTTTTGAATCGACAGCCGAAGGAGTTTCATGAGACGGGGATCACGCGGCTCATTTGTCACTGGGATAAATGTCTCAATGTTTATGGAGACTACCTTTAAATAAAATGCTCTGTTTGTCATATATTTGCATTGGCTCACTTTCATTTGACTCGCCCTTGTATTTAAAGTTAATACATCGTTAAAAATATTTTTTGTTTCTACATAGTTTTATTATTTAACAAATCTTTTTGTTATTGAAAAAATTATTGAATGATTTTTTTTTTAAACTGATTTTTGCGTGTCGTAGGTTGGCAAGTATGCAGGTGTCTTATTATATTGCATAATACATGTATTTAATCTGGAATATAAGACAGTAAAAGCCATTAAATAAAATTAAAAACATAGAAAATACTGAAACACACACACAGAAAATGAAAACATTGACTTGGTTGAGCTGTATGTAGCCTCAGAAAATACATTATTAATCAAAGTTGTTTTATTAGTTAAAAATAACCTTGCTCTTAATGCCACATTAGCCTTAATATAATAACTATGATTACTTGTAGCAGTTACAGAAATGACAACTGTAACTCATCAAAACTAAAGCTCGTGTCTCTATTAAGAACAGAAGCCTGAGTGGAAACTGTTTGAGTATGAACTTGGTTAGAAATCAAAATACTGTAGCCTTATTTGTAATTTTGAAAATATACAAGTGAGAAAAGTTTTGTTTAAACAATAGATTTAAATTTTAGTAGTAAAAATGTTAATTTATAGTAAGGTTATAAGGTATTTTCTCCCTCCTTTCTGTGTGCCTTCGTGGTGTAACGGTAGCACACTCGCCGTTGATTTGAGATGTCCAGTTTTGAGTCCCGAGGAGAGCATTACACAGTTTTCACGTCTTCCTGCTTCAAAATAACCTAATGATTCTACAGTGGCACCTAACTAAAAGGTGGTACATTGTTCACCACGAGGATTTGGCGATTGGGTCCACTAATCCCCAGTCACCCTTTAAAGGATATATTGTCAGTCACCCTTTAAAGGGTGGAGTATGTAAGGTATTTTATCCCTCCTTTTTGCATGTCTTCGTGGTGTAACGGTAGCAAACTCGATGCATGTTGGAGTCCCGGCGAGGGCATTGCACATTTGTCACGTGTTCCTGCTTCAATATATCCTAATGAGTGTACAAGATATGATGTGCTGTAAAATATGATATGATGTAAAATATGATAGATATAAAATAGAATTTCTTGCATATCATATGAAAAGCATGTTGTGATGACCATTTGCTGTAAGCCATGGCTGTATTTGTGTTTTATGTACCCATAGGTCCATTTAAAACTGCTGCTTTTCTGTCCTCCTTTCATTGGTGTTGTGAGAGGGGGGGAACACTTTGTGAATGCACCTCCTCTGCTGACAAGTTTCAAGTAGTTAACATAATTGTCTAGATGGAAATTATAGAAACCTTATAATATTATGACACCAATATCTAGTTTCCTTTATAGAGGAAAGTATGTCTACACTGAGCTGTTCTGTGCCTAAACTGCCATCCTGCTTCCTTGCTTTGTAACCGTCACCATTTCATCGTGCATTTTTTACATCCACCTCACTCCCAATTTAAATTTTTCCAACTTTTTCAAAATAAAAAAATTCAAAACTAGCCAGTAACCAAGTTTTAATGCCAGACCCTGACTGACCCTGAATGTTAGCAAGTAAGAATTTAACGTATGTATGTTAGTTGGGGACTTTCATATCAGTCATTGTAATGAGTGGTCATTACAGTGAGCATTAAATGCATTGTATAGCTACGTTTGTGGTGTTGCAGTTCTTTCTGTGTGATATGCTGAGCATTACACTATATTTAAGGGAATAATAATATGCTGTTTTTTCTAATCCTTTGCTAAAAGGTATTTTATGTTCATTGTTTAATTATTTACCAGTTTTTGTAAGTAATTATCATTATTTAGTATTTATTGTTAAAAATGATTAAGAACTACTTAAAATCATTGCAATAGATTTTTTTAAAGACAAGAAAGTAGCAAAATGTGCTATTGCAAGTGCTACAAAATTCATAGTGGCAGCCTATCTTAATTTAAACAGTTTTACTCTTTTATTTAAAAAAAAAAAAAAATTGTTTGCATAATGTATTTTGTTTTGTCTATGTTTTATAAGATATCTGAATTTTTTAAAATTTCTGTAGGTGGTAAATCAAAACATTATCGTGATGGTGCAGCTGGATATGAAGTTGGTTCATGGCATAAAATCACTGTAAGTATAATTGTTGTTGGGAATTCAATTCAACATAAGGATACTAAAGATTGTTTTTTTTTTATGAAGCATTTAATTAACATTATGTAACATTATGTAAGAGCTATAAAATCAAAGCTATAACCTAAAAAATAACTGAACATGTTTAAAAATGAATTTTCAGACAGAACATTAGGTATAAATACATATTAAAGCTGATAGTAAGGAATATGAAGTAGAGATTGCTGGTATTATTTTAGTAAAATATTATGCTTCTTTCCTGCCAAATTATTTGTCTGATCTGAATGAAATTTGGTATGTGATGTGCATGGGGGAAAAAAAGGATTGAAAAATGAAATGCAGTTTTTAATTATTGTATAATTAATCACAGAGTTCATTAATAAGCTATCTAAAGAATCGTTTGGCAGTAATCAGGCTGATATATGAGATATCTTACTTTTTCCTTTGGTACTTTGTCTCAACATTTTGCAGCTGCTGTTCCAGATTGTTAATATTCCTTGGCTTTTGTCTGTCCAGCTTGGCTTAGACCTGTTGGTAACATATTGCTTTCTACTGAGTTCCAGTTGTTGCATTAGTTGCTGAGTACAAGTGAGTTAGGTCATGCATAAGCTGCTCATCAGATTAGTTTAAAAAAAGGATTTGGGGAAACAACGCGGCTGTGGAAAGTTTTGCATAAAAGTGGAGGAAACTTTAGTGGAAGCATTCCAAGTGTTTAACATGCTGATGCCATACTTGTCTTTTCCGTGGGGCAGCCTCACCCACCGTTGGGTCATGCTTGATTGTGTCATTGGCCAGCATGACTCACCAATGGGTCATGCTTGTATATCAAAAAATAATAAATTATGCTTGTATATAAAAAAATACAATTATTTAAAAAATTTTTATTTTTTAATTTTATAATTTGGTGCTGCGCTGGCGCACGAAAAGAACATCTAATATCCACGCTTCCGTCACCGTATTAACCAAGTATACAAGTGACTCCGTGGGCAAATGCAGTGCTATGTTTGGTTTCAGCTTGTTAAAAAGGGCAAAAGTTCCGTTTTCAAAAATTCAAGGACTAGTCAACCTCCCACATCAACAGACAGATAACATTTTTAGAGTGCACTATTAATTCGTACCACGCGGTCAAGCAGTAAACAAGAAAGTCTACCAGAGAATATGATTGATGGATGCTGTGCAGAGGAAAAGACCTGAATTGTGGAGAATCAATCATGGGTGTGGCATCATAGCAATACTTTAGCTCGTGCATTGCTCCTTGTTGCCAGTTATATGACAAAACATTGCACCACCCCATTTTCCTAACTCAGATTTTTTTTCTCTTTCCCAAGTTTAAAATAATTGAAACGTATATAATTTCCAGTCCATGGAGAAAATTCACGAAAATGTGATGAGAATACTAAATGGTAATTGTTTATTGACAATGGAGTACTTGGGTAGTGGTTGAAAGATTGTATAATGAGCAGTTAGAGATTTGCTGTTTTGCGTCCTTACGGAGATCGTCACGTTGCTGAATGAATGCAGATTTGATCTTCTCGTCGATTAGAGCAGCAATATTGATGTCGTTTTGCGATTTCATTTTAGTCCCAAAGAGAAGTTCAAAGGGAGTGGAATTGATGCTACGTTGAAAAGTTGAATTAATAATTTGTTGCACGGCGGGAACATGGCGGTACCATTGCTCAGGGTTGGTTATGGAGAGTTTAGAAAGGACAGCAATAATAATGGAGTTCAAACGCTCAACTTGACCGTTCGATCGTGGGAGGCCAGCTGTAATAAGAACGTGCTTTATTCTCTGTGTGTCACAATAGTTTGCAAATGCAGTGGATTTGAATGCAGGGCCTCGATCAGAGATAATCCGTGAAGGATTTCCGAAGACTGATCTTTGAGATTCCAGCCGACTGATAACTTCATCTGCGTCTGTAGACTTTGTCGGATAAAGCCACACGAATTTAGTAAACGAGTCTATAACTGCCAAAATATGTTTGTATTTCTTTGATGTGGTGGCAAGGGGACCTAAGTGGTCGATATGGTACGTGTGCAAGGGTGCGTCGTCTTTGTCAATGGGGTGCAGAAGTCCGTCTTGTTTGCCACGCTTTCGATTATTGAGGATGCATGGGATGCAGTTATGGATACACCGCTCAATTTTTTCTTTCAGATTTGGGATAAAATATTCGTTGTTTAAAAGTTCTTGAGTGCGGATTACGGCGAAGTGGCCTCGTTCGTGAGCTGTTTTAATGACATTTGCCTGCATATCCTCAGGCACCACAAGTAAGTCAATGCCGTTGACGTTTTTGTACAGGAGATTGTTCTTAACGAGAAAGTTATCATACGAAGGCGTCGTTTGAAGGAGTGCTTTAATAGCCGTAATATGCTCGTCGGTTTCTTGTGCTTTGCGAAATTGGAGAAGGACACTGTCTTGGATAGTCATGCAACATGGACTGCGACTGAGGGCATCCACGTGAGCCATCTTTGAGCCGGTACGGTGCTCAATTTCGTAGTCAAAATCTTGGAGATATAAAACCCATCGGGCTATTCTCGAATTGAGTTCCTTTTTATTTAAAGTTTGTACAAAAGCGTTGCAGTCAGTGATAATTTTAAAATGTGAACCAAGGACGTAAATACGGAACTTTTTTAAAGCTTCAACAATTGCAAGGACTTCGAGTTCATAACTGGTGTATTTACGCTCGTTGTCCGATGTTTTCTTTGACATGTAGTAGACAGGGTGAAAGCTGTTATCGTTCATAGATTTTTTTGTAGTAGGACTGCCCCCAAGCCATCAAATGGATGCGTCGGTATGAATTTCGATAGGACTCTTTTGATTAAAAATACTTAAAACTGGTTGTTGAGAAAGCAAATATTTTAATCTGTGAAATGCGGCTTTCTGATCAGCATGAAATTGAAAGGGGGTGTCCTTACGAAGGAGATCACTAAGGGGTTTTGCAATGCTAGAATATGAGGGGATGAATTTCCTAAAATATCCCGTGAGACCGAGAAAGCGTTGGACGTCTTTCGTACTCTTAGGTTCGGGGTAGTTAATTACAGATTTTGTTTTCGAAGGGGAAGGAAAAAGTTTACCGTCTTCAACGATATGTCCAAGAAATTCGATTTTTTTGTGAAGAAATTGACATTTACGAAAATTAACTTCTAGACCATATTCACTAGCAACTTTGAGTACTTGGTTGAGACGATGAATGGCCTCATTTTCATTTTTGGCGGGAATAACTACATCGTCCATGTAGGGTAAAACATAACCTTTGACAATTAAATCACGAAAAACATAATTTATAAAGCGCTGGAATACTGAAGGGCAATTTGAAAGACCAAATGGCATTCGAAGAAACTGGAATTGTCCGTTGTGAGTTACAAAAGCTGTATATGGTTTACTTTCGTCCGCTACTGGCACATGAAAAAAGCCGTTACGTAGGTCAAGAGTACTAAAAATTTGCGCGTCTTGAAGTTTATCCAAAATGTCATCAATAAGAGGAAGAGGAAAATGATCCTTAATTAAAAGTCGATTAAGTTTCCTATAATCGATGCAAACATGGAGTGTACCATCTTTTTACGCACCACGAGAACTTGACTGGCATATGGAGATGAACAAGGTTCAATAATTTTAAGTTTCAACCATTCATTTATTTGTTTGTCAACAATTTCCCGTTCAACAAAAGGAAGGCGTCTAGGAGGGTGAAAAATCGGTTTATCATCGGATAGAGTGATATTAAGTTTAATATCTGTCGTCTTTGTTTTATTTGGGACATAAGAATTCAGCAAACGTTCTGCCGCAGCACGAGTTTCTTTGGAAACATTTGAACCAATATCAAAAGCTGGAACATCGTCATTTATTGCAAAAATGAAAGATTCAGGAGCAGTTTCAAAGCATTGCTCGGAAGGTTTTGAAAAATATATACCGTCTGGTGTAATAGTTAATTTAGCATTTTTAATTACGTCACATCCTACAATAAGAGAAAATTGCATAGAATGATTTGGAACAACTCTAATATTAGCCGGAAAGTCCTGATTATCAATGTTGATAATGGTTTGAAAATAGCCAATAATAGGAATTTTCGAGAATCCGAAACCAGTTAACACTCCAGAATTATTTGAAAGTGGTGGGGAACCAAGTTGAATCCATGTGTTTTCGTTCAGTAATGTGACCTCACTTCCAGTGTCAATTAATCCAGAAACTGTGCTATTGAGTATAACGACAGTTTTACACATATTACCGTGAGAGGTTTGTACTGTATTTACTTCGGCAGGTGGAGTGGAAGTCTCATTTGGGCGGCAATCCATAGATTTGTGTCCAAAACGACCACAAGTTAGACACTTTGGGCCAAGAGAACGATTAGGACAGGACCGTGAGAGGTGTCCGACCTCATTGCAGTTAAAACAAGTTTGTGGTTTAGTTTTAGATGAACCAGTATTATTAAATTTCGTGTCGTGTTGTTGGTCTGAATTTTTTCGTCCAGTACCACGTCTGGGGCCATTATACGTATTTTTAAAATTTGATGGATGAGAGATATTTGTATGTCTAGTCGTAACTACAGATTCATAAGTGCGTAGCTTTTCCTTGAATTCAGAATATGATTTTGCACCGTAGAGAATAATTTTATCGGATGGGGTACCTAGTATTCCTTGAATGGTATACTGAATGACAGAAGCCTCGTCGATAACACCGTCACCACGATTCGCAATTTCGCGCATTGCGATAAAATATTGCAAAGAGCTTTCATTCGAGCGCATTTTTCTTCTTTCGAGTTGTTTATGAATTTCAATAGACGTAATTTTATCGGAGAACTCATTAAGTAATACTGTTTTAAACATGTCGTATGAATTGAGATTCCGTTGTGAAAACAAAAAAGTTTTAGCAGTACCCACAACAAGTCGTTTCGCAAAAACTAATTTTTGCTGGTCGGTAAGATTTGGGAATAATTGGAAATTATCCTTTATATCATTGAAAAAAGCACGGACTGAATAGGAATCATTGCCTGAAATTTTCTGCAAGTGTTTGAAAGATCTCTCAAAATAAACCAAAAGTCATGACTCATCTCGCGAATCTCGGTGTTCGCCGTCATATAAACACCGGAGCGACTCGAATTCAAATTTATTACTTCCGCGTCAGAAGAAACAACGCGATTTGGGCTTGGCGCCGTGGAGGGAGGGGAAGGGGGAACAGAAGAACTTAGACCTACAGGCGTCGGTGCACTGTCGGTGTTTGAAATTGAATGATCGTCATCGGATAAAAAACTAACATCTAGGGAATTGTGAAAATCCGTCAGATTAGTGAGCGCATGAAAATTTTTTTCACATAAAACATCTTTATTAGTGGAAGCTTCCAAATGCAATAAATTAGCCACTGATATAAAATCTGATAAAGAAAAATCTTTTAATAGAAGTTCTTTATGTTTTGCCAAATCGAAACTGTCCGGGAACGCGGCAAAATTTCGCATTCTCTTTCGCGAAGAATGATCAAAATCGGAAATATATCCGAGCACGGTATTAAATAATTTAATAACTCGTGTTGTGCCATATTTAAGAGAATTCGCTATCAATGGGATATCACCTAATTTTAGGGCCATAGTTCTTAGGGCCATAAACAGTAAAATAGGACAATATGAATATGAAATAGGGTATGTATGAATGAGAATTAAACAGTATAAACACAGCTTAAAATCGTAATACTAATAAATTATGAACGAATCAGGGAAAAATGGCCCTACCTAACTTCGGGGCAGTCCTTATAATCCAATATATATTCTTGGCCAATCCAATGTAATCCAAAATCGAATTTCGATTTAACGTCCAAAATCAGAAGAATGGACATCAGCATGGAACATCATTCACATATGTTGCCCAGCTTGACATTAAAGAATATGAAGAATAATAAATCGTCATAAAGGCACGTCTTCATTCACATACGTCGTCTGGCTTGAAGAAGAATATTAAATCGTCATAAAGGCACGTCTTGCCTTTGTTAGCTTTCTGAACGTCTTTAGTGATTGCTGGTGTCTAGGGTTCGATTATAATGCATGCACAATAGGCACGGTCGAGCCCCCAAAATGTAGGAAAGGCAACGACCATAGTTGATAACACACATTTATTACTATTTACAAATATAGATTACATTAGGATTACAATTAATGAAAATGGTATACGAGCGATTGAGCGACGTCTGCTCCGCTCGCCAGCTAATCCTCGTCTTCTTCCAAAGGCGGGAAACACATGCTGATGCACAATGCATACGTCATACAGTAGGGGATTAGGGAATATCATGACATAATGTTTCCCACATCTAAGGTTGATATTTTATGAATTTTTTTACATATATGTTTATAGTCTATAATTACATGTTTATCTTGAATTTGATAATTAAAATTTCTTTTATATCCTTACAGATTCCATATGGTAAAAAAAGTGGAAAAGCCTTTATCCTACGATCAATTGTTTCTCGCTGCAAAGTTCCATTTATACCAATCAATGTAAGTTATTTTGTTATGTAATATTAAATGCATAGTAAAAACAAAAGCCTCTAAAGGGCTAAACTAAATTTCTTAGAAATTGGAGGGAAATGCTTCATGATTTTAGCATTTAAATATTATTCAAATAAAATAACTTGCAGTTGGATGTTGCTGTTTTTCTTATTTAATAGCACTAACCTGTACCATATCAGAGTTACTAATACTCCAGATTTCCGACCGTATGCCCGCCAGCCTGATTTACAACATATTTCTTTTGACTTTCTCTTATTTTTAAACTAGGTCATGATTTTTATGTAGTTTGGCTTAATACTTCTTTATTTGCATCCCAAAAATGGATTTTGGCCATAAAGCGCTTGGTTTTTTTCCTAGATTACATGTGAAAGAAAACCAAAGTCATTTCATCAGCGAAACATAATGGTGTGTTTCTGCTTTTTGTGTGAGAGCATACATGGTTTGTCCCAAAAGTAGTAGAAGTGAATTTAAAAAAAAAATATTCTCAGTTTTGATGCATTGACAGAATAGTTTTAAAAATATGCCCTTATTACATCAACACAGCATTTCCAGCGATTCTGCCAATCTTTGAAGGCTCCCTGGAATGCTCTTCAGCTCCCTTTTCCTGGCCTCTTGAATCGCCTGGACCAAGCCATGGTATCATCCTTGCGTGACCTTTTTCGGTCAGGAGAAGAGGAAGAAATCTCAATGAGCAACATCTGGGCTGTGGGGTGGCTGAAGAAGCTGTGTGATGCCTTGTTTAGTCATGAAGTCCGTGACAACAAAGGCGGTGTGGCTTGGTACATTGTCATGATAGAGCCTCCATGATCCAGCAATTGCACACTCAGTCTGTGGTCAGAATTCAAAAGATTTTGCATTTTCACTAAGTTTCAACACTTTTTGCTATTGAAGGGCATCCTTGCTGTTGCTGATCTTCAACTTGCTCTCTTGCCTCCCTAAACAATATGTGCCATTCAAAAATATTTAATTGGCCCATGGCATCACTAGCATAAACAGTCTTGATCATGTCGTGGGTCAGTTTTACCCAGTTTGATGAAAACCTTCACTGCATAACGTTCTCTAACAAACAGTTCATTGTGGAGATGAAAAGGCACCTTGAAACAGCTTACCGTAAACTTGATCTACATTTTATCAAGGCTTGGTGCGCTGGTAGCTAAGACAGGGTTGCCACGCCATCTGGAAAACCGGGAGAACCGGTAAAAGTCAGGGAATTCGAAAATTGACCAAAAAATTCAGGGAAAAGTCAGGGAATTTAAGTATTTTTGTCAAAATCTGGAAAAGTCAGGGAAGTTCATACAACGATCCCGCCAAAAAAAGCGATTTTTGCGCCGACGTCGGAAGAGGTAACTTTTTTGGCGAATTGTGTATCACGTGAGTGTCATTCGGGCAGCTGGCATAGAGCCAATTTTCGCAGCTCCAATTTGATTGTCTGTTAGAAAGGCAAAGCAAGTTTCCCTCAACTTTTGGTTTCCAGTATTCTTGAGAATCGCATGTGCAGTGCATGAACTAAAGAAAGTACCTGTTCTCGTATAAAACAAAATGGGTTTAATCCTAGTATACGGTACCATGGAGGTTAGAATCAAAGAATATGTATTGTAAAGAAGGAAAACCTCTCCGCAACAGACGTGGCTCCGTTCCATCATAGAGGGAAACAGCCTGTGCATGCGTGATATATCTGTCGCCAAAGCTCGAAACCGGTGTCGAAGTTCAAAGGTCAGGTTATCAAGAGTTCATAAAATGAATATCGTTTAAAATTTCTTCAACCACTTGCGCTAAAAAGACGTGCCACGCACATCAATATGCTTTTGTCTCAAACCGCGAGCGGCCACATCAATAAGCATTTATCGCAAAAATGAAAATAACGTGGTGCACACGTCGCCTAACAACAAGAGTGTTTATTTCTCGAGTTACAGCTGTGGATTGCACTCGCAGATGCGGAGCGGCGTAAATGAGACACTTTACCGCTTGTTATATTGTAGTGCGCGGCACCGCAACCGTGACGTTTAGTCTTAGCGCAAGTGGTTAAACTCTAAAGGAAAAGAAAATATTTTTTGGCGCAAGCAAATTAATTCATGGATTAGTTATTTTCAGGGGGAAAAAAAAAACTACGAAAGTCCGTTTTTAAAATTATTGCGAAAAATCCAAGAAGAAACGTCCTTTGATAAAACGTTTCTTCTTGGATTTTTCGCAGTAATTTAAAAACTGATTTTCGTAGCTTTCTTTTTGTCAAAGAACATTTCTTCTTAACACATGTTTCTCAATTTCGGTACACATCGCGGAGAGGGAAATTCTGGCCGCCAGGTTCCGTCGCCAAATCCCTTGGAAAATTTTCCCTCGCATTCTAGCGGCGTAATAGCATTTTACTTGTATGGAACCTTTTCTTCTTTACATAGACGTTCTTTGGTTAGAATAATCTCCATGTATGGTACAATGGGATTTGGCAACATGATGATGCGCAGTAAACGGGTCATTTTGGTCTTGGCGACAATTTTCAAAATCGTGCCAAAACCTTACCGTATACTAGAATTTTACCGCAAAATATTTTTAAACCTTTTTTTTTTCTTTTTAATAAATACCTTGCCATTTTGCAGTAAAATAAAAAAATAGTATCAGTCATCTAGGCTAACCATGTAATATAACTATATTCGCTAAAACATCGTTGATTATTCTAATTCAATTTTTAAGTAATTATCTTTATTTTTATGTTATTCATATAATTTAATGTTGCTTCTTCCCTCTAAATTTATTTATTATTAGTAAATAATATTTCCAAATTTCAGGAAATTTTCTCTGGCATAATCCTGAAATTCTAGCAGTATGATGACCTACCATCACGAAATTTAATGCACATATTTTTTCCTTATGTATACTGCGAAATAAATATAAAATACCTCAGTTTATTAAAATAGATTTCTTTCTTTCGTTTAGCTGTAGAATGTTTGCAAAAAAAAGCCTTATTTTATTCCAGATTGGGAAGATTCCAATCTCAATCTTCAGTGGAGAAAACAACAACTATTATAATTATATTTGTGTTTTCAAGTGTTAAGGTGCCTTTTAAATTTACCTAAAATCTAACCTAACTATTTAGCATTGTGTTGTGATTTATAAGGACCGGATTAGCCTCATGTTGAACTGGTGATGATCATGAGTAATAATTCAATAAAACATACATTTGTTATCCTATGTATATATCTTAAATTTTATTAAGTTTCTTAAGTGGAAAAGTAAACAAAATTATCAAACAAAGTATACCAAGAATAATTAAGAATAAATGTCCTCTGGGATTTATTGAATAATTAAGTGAATTTGCTATACAGTACAAGTAATATCATAATTAATTTACCTCTTAGCACTTCCAACGTACATTACGCGGATAGACTGGAATTTTCTTGAAACACACCTGGAAAAGTCAGGGAATTTTATTCTCCTGTTTGAGTGGCAACTCTGCTAAGATCCCCCACAGCCCAACTAGCACAGTAACATGCCCCTCCTTGACGATGTTTTGGTTGGGAAAAAATCAGTCCTATTTCCCAGACAAACCCTTTATGTATCCAAAAATGTAGTGTTCCAATTCTCCAGTGAGCATCAAGTACTGCTGTGGGTCATCTAGCATATGTTAACCAATAAGAACAAAGCAAGATCAAGGTTGTTACTTGGTTTGTCTTACCGCTCATCGTTGTGAGCTTCATGTGCTTTCGAGAAAGAGTTTTAAGAAATTGCGATCTTTTGTTAGTTAAATCTGTGAAAAGATAAAATACTTATATACTTTTCAAAAACCATACACAGATTACTTTTCTTCTATTATTTTGTCAAAAAAATGTGTTACATTTGCAGTGGTTTCCATTCGTCTTTGTAGTTCTTCACATGGTGGAAAGGCCATTGTTCTTAAACATGGGTATAGACAAGGAAAAGTGAGTTGTATTGGAGAAAATATGAAAAAATAAATTTTACTATGGGAGCAAAGGACTAAAATGTTATTAATGCAAAATGCCTTTTCTTTCTTTCTTTCTTTCTTTTTTTTTTTTTTTAACTGGAGCACAAACTTTAACTGAATGCATCGGATCATGCTGGAGCTTTATTTACAAAATTTTTCCCAGTAACAAAATCACCAAGAAATGCTGAAGTGCTAGGTTAAAAATTATTAAAGAAATGGGTATGCAAAATAAATCTTCATTTACTGATTGCATTAAAACAGCTTTGTTCTGCCTATCTACTGATGGAAGCAATAATACTGAGGCAAAACTATATCCAATAGTTGTTTCTTTCTTTAATGCAGAGTCTTCAGAAACTGAGTGTAGTTTTTTTTTAAAAAAAATTCATTTTAGATGGAGATTCAACAGCCTTTAACGTAGCACAGCTATTTAGTAAAAACTAAATAAAATGCAGTTCCTCTGGATATTTGCTTAGCACTTAGCTTCGACTAAATACCAATAAGGATAAGCTCTTGAAGACAGATGTTTCAAGCATCTAGATGAAGGAAAATTCAAATATGCAAATCATGAGCTGCACCTGTCGCCTTTTAAATGTACCAGCTGAAAAAGGAGCAGCTTCTTTGCTAGTAACTATGGATGAACACATTGTTGATATTTATTATCTTGAAAAGAGTTCTAAAAGGAAGTAAAAATTGAAACAATTCCAATAGGTGTGTTATACTAAAATAAGAAAAATTTTGAAACATGTATGTTCACACTGGTTATCTTTAGAGAAATGTTTATCTAGAATCCTCGTCAAGTAGAACCCGCTTCTTACACTTTTTTAAGAAAGAGGTAAATGCTTCTAGAGTTAAGATAAAAGGCTTATTTAAGGTTATAAAATGCATATTTATATAGACTTGAATGAAGTTATAAAAGCAGCAAGAATTGTCACCCAGTGGAGTTTTTAATTGGAACTGATAGAATTTCAAATTACAGAGCTGCTTAGAATAATTTTGGTCCTCTAGACAATTTTTCATAGTAGCGCAGAGTGCATTAAAATTTTCAGTGTTGTTACTAAAACAGACTAAATTTAGTTCTAATATTTATAATGCTACATGACAAAAACTTTTATTAGCAAAAGCAGGCTACCACCAAGGAGTTTTTTTCTTAATGAAAGTAAAATCTGCCATTGTTCTTAGAATTTGTTTGAAAACTGAAAACATACAAATAATTAAAATGTTTCTTACATGTAAGTATTTTTGTACTATTTGCATTCAAGAATTAGTAACTGAACTTTCAGATATTAATTAGCTACTATTTAAGGTTAATTCATTGTTAAAAAGTGTATTTTCTTAGTATATATTTTTATTGTTTAAAAAATCTTTTTGTCGTTGACAAAATTCTCTTGAGTTTTGAGTGGTGTAGGTTGGGATGGAAAGTATGGCATATTTCCTTGCATATTTTTCCCTTTGTGTGTTTAGTTCCAGGTTCTGAAAATTTACAAAATGTTTTGTAATTTCCCTTTTCCTCAGTTCATTTAGAGAATGAGTTCCCTAAATTGTAAAATGTATTTGTCCATGTAATGATTGTTTTTGTCTTATTAACAATGACAAGCCCTCACAAACTACCTGCGAAGGTTGTGCTGACACTATGACAGCCTAAAACAGGAACTGACTAGCCACAGCAAACCAAATAATAAATGACATTATCTCGATTTCGCTGAATCAATTGCACATTCATCGTTTCTAATCCTTTATGGATGTTTTGAGCCCTAAGGAGTAGCAGAGATAACAATGAGAGCAGGTGAGATTCAAGTTACAAAAAAATAGAAATAAAGATAACTTATTGGATATTGAAATATTAATATTACTGCATAATCTTAGTAGAATACAGGTTTCTTTTAAAGAAATAAAATTGTGATAGTTGCTTGCAGTTTATCCATGACTACTTTTCATCATTGTTTTTAATGTAATAGTCCTTCAGGAATTAGATTATTCACATAATTTTTGCCTCGATTTTCAAATGATAAAATTAGAAAAAAGAATGGGGGTGGAAATGTGCGTGGAAAAATACAGTATATTTAATCATCTTTATTTCAATTTAAAAAAGTAAACGCTTGTAATAAAATATATGAAGTCTTAAGAAGAAAAGTTATGCTAAGCTGTAAATTAGTGATATTTTTATAGCAAAGTAATGGCATTTGAAGTATGTAACTAATATAAATATACAAATCAGAAATATTGTGTATTTGACAGTAGATCTCCAGAATAAACAGACAGTAGTTCTCCAGAATAAACAGACTAGGAAGGGGGAAATGATCCTTTATTATTACTCCAGTTAGAAACAGTTATTAATCACTAAAAACAGTTAAAATCAAAAGCAATTGTTGCATGACCTGTATCTGAATATTGCTCATCCTACTTGTAAGAGGAAAATATTTAGTAGATTTATTTAAAAAATATAGGAGCATATGCTGTTGCAAATATATGCAATACCAGAGTTTGAAAGTAATTAAATTGAAAACACAGTCGAGTTAAGGCTTAAATTACAGAACTTCACTATAGAAGTAATTGAACTGGTGCCCTTCTCTGTTTTATAGCTTTGTGATTATTCTATCCTTATTCATGATGGCCATATTTAAATTACCATACTCATTATAAACCATCCAAATAGTTTCCAATTCAACAAAAAATCATAAAAATTTGCTGAGATTGAATAATGTTTAGAGTTCTACTTGTGCGTTTTAATGAAATGCCAGTAGTTATTAATTTAAAATTTATTACACATAAAATTAGCTATTTATTTAGAATTTATTACAGCCAGATTAAAAGTAATGCAAAAACACAAGTTACATAAATTTACAATACTGTTTAGTTGTAATTAGAAAAAGGTCACACTAAATCCAAGTCTACTTCATTGACCTTTTTTACTATTGAGGTAATTTGAAAAATTGTGCTGAATTTTCTGATCTTTGTTAAGGTAGAGTTCTGAATTTCATGAGTTGATTTTTTTAATCTGTATAGTTTTTACGTAGTTGAAGTATTTTTTTTTTTTTTATTATTTATTTATTAAAGTTTCAATTCAATGGAAATGCAGCTGAGTTTTATGTAGAGGATCCTGATGCTGCACGTCATATTAAAGATGTTCATCGCAGAGTTATCACACCAGATGGATTTAAAGTAAGTACTATTTACATTTTGAATTTTTACATTGCATAGTCAAATACTGTTTCTTATGCTATTGTATTTAGCCAGTCTGCAATTTGAATTATAAATTTGAGTTGTAAAACGAGGATTGATATTATACATTAAGCAATAGGAAACATTACTGTTGTTCTTCCCGTGTATTCAGCAATCTGTTTTCACTAAAAATCAGAAAATAGTACAGATTTGGCATTGCACACAGCTTTGTCATTGTTAACGTACATGTATTATGGTTCATTCCTGTTATAAGTTTGCCAAATCTGGCGGCTAATCTACTGGTTTTGGTGTTAGACGAAGATGGTTGCATTAAGAAGAAAGTACCAATGAAACTCTAGAAAATAAAGTGTAGGAAAATATGTAAGATAGCAGTTATGATGGAAATTGGTGCCATAATATTTGGAATTTTTTTTTTAAATTCACAACACAGTAATTAATAGCATATAATTCAGAATATTTAAACATTATATATTTTAAAAGTTCTCACTTTTTTGCATATGAATTTGAACTGTGTGTATTGTTAAAGTAGTAAAATTTTTTTTTTGTCATTTATGATTTAGTTTATTAATTTCTAATGGTGTTTGTTCAACCACTAATTACAGATTGAACTATTTGTTTGAAATAATGAAGTAATTAATGTAACCAAGTGAACTTAAATGCATGATTAATATGTTCACTGCCAAAGCTGATACGGTGCATTTCTTCATGCGCACCAAGATCCTGTCTGCACTTTTATGCTTTTAAATTATTTTTATTATTTAAATATAGGTATAATAGATCAATTTCAGCAGTAAACAAGTTTACTCGTAGTTCAGCATAGACAACTTTCAACATATTAAAAAAAATCTTGTTATTTGTTGTGAGCTTCAAAATATTCTATGAATAGATGTGTTTTAATCCATTTCAATTTACCAGAATGTATTATTTTGCCTTTTCCTGTATGCCAAGCGCCTAAACATTGCATGCATTTTCATACTTGGTTATTTAGCTAAGTTGATAAACTTTGTATATTCTTGTAGTTTGCCAACTATGAGTATTCTCATGGATAGCAGCAAACATATTAAACTGTTTGAATGCAGGTAAATTCTTATTAATAGTTATTAATTATAGTTTGAGCTAATTCTCATTTGTGTGTTTTTTTAACTGTCCTCAGTTTGAAACCATGGATATTACCTGGTAAATCTGGAATTGACTGTATAATTATATTTCTTGGTAAGCTCACTCCATTTGTCATTATCACATGTAGGATGATTGCAGTGTACAAGGCAACTGTCTTTTTTAAAGAGTTTCAACACTTCCCAGAACTATTTTCCACTTAGGAAACCATTGTTATCCTTTCGTTAAAAATTGTTAATTGCTGCTTTTTCCAGGCTTATTGTTCCTTTCATATAAGCATGCCATTTGCAAGAAAAGAGTCAAGTGAGGGGAGGAGTGAAGAAGTGTGGTTTTAAAAGCAAGCTTAGAATCTCGACTTTGCAATTGGCTCAAAATGAGTTATGTTGAATTAATATGGATGTCTGCTTATAGCTTCTTTATGGTTACTTTAGAGGAGGAGAAAAATGATGGTATTTCTCTTTCTGTATTTGTTTGACATCTTTGGAAACAGTGCTCTGATATTTTGGATGAATTAAAATATATTGGTGTGAGTAATGATGTTTTGTCAGTTGTGAAATTTATAAGTGATGCATCTGAACTTTCTGTCCACGAGAATAAGGAAATATTAAAATTGGCTATTACTGCAACTACTTGTTACATATCTGCACATCACCAACATCCTTATAATTTCATATGTAAAGAGAGACAGATTGATGAAAGTATATAAATCTTATTTTCAAGTTTAGCCCAAGAGAAAATTTTTATTTATTTATTTATTTATTTTGGGGTATTCTCTGCTGGGAAATTCCAACACCAAGAGGAATAGAATGTAACCAAAGTACTTTTCTAAGTAGCATATTTGTTTGATTATGTTTCAAGGTCACAGGTTAAAGTATGGGCAAGAAGAGCCAATTCATCTATGAAATACTTATACATTAATAATCTCTGTACTCACCACAATGTTGAAGGCAAATGTGCATGTGTTGTACTGGTGCCTTTTTTGTGCTATGTACTTTCCTGTTGTCTAAGCCAAATGGCAACTTTCTGGGCTAGTTGTGGATGCTGCTGGATTCGTCATCCTCTCATATCCCATACATACTTGTTGGGATAAAGCTCAAATGATCTTGCAGGTGAATGGAAGATGTCAATGATGCTGTAAAGCTCATTGGGTGATAGCAGCGGTATAAGGACGAGCATTATCCTATTGGAAAATGCCCACTGGAATATTGCTGAAGAATGCAACACAGCTAGTGCAATCATCAATCTGAAGTATAAATTTGTTGTCAAAATGTGTAGGATAATGATGAAAGTGCTCCTTGCTGTCACAAGAAATTGTTCCCCTAACCATAACACCTGCTCTAGGTCCAGTGTGTTGGCACTGCTGGTAGATTTGTTCCAAACACTCACCTGAGTAGAATGGCTGCTACAGGATATCTGGCTTGGAGTTGTCCGTCAAGAAATCTGCAGTTAGCTATGTTACTCTGGTGTTTTAGCAAAAATTTTGAATGTCTGCTGCGGATGTAATCGATGTGCCACGGATAAATGCATCAGTCTCCCCTTTGAGTAGTGCTGTGTGTGTGGCTAGACCTGACTGTTTTGAGACAGTAATTTCTCCTGATCAGTGCTGCCAACACACATTGAGTGGATACATCCCTGCCAAGTCTTTCTGCAATATCGCAAAAAGAAAATCTATTTTCTCATAGCCATATTATATTATCATAGCTGGCCTCGGTCAGACTCGCTAAACTGTTAATCTCTTTCTTTGCCTCAAAATTTTTCTTGGCACAAACTTCGTTCACAATGCCCAACTCAGCAGGTAAAATACATGGAAGTTTTTAAAGCAAACGTGATTTGCATGTTTGTAGTGGTGAAGTTTGAGTAGATGCCATCTTTCAGATGTACAAACACACTTCTCAAATATTGTTTATTCCAGGGTTCGTACGATCCTTAAGAGTCCTTAAAAGTCCTTAGCTTTTTTGGAATCACTTTTTGGTCCTTAAAAGTCCTTAATTTTGGCCAAAATCGGCAGAAGGTCCTTAATTTTAATCATCTGAAATTTCTGTTTGTTTTTACGACTGCCATTTTGAGTGTGAATTAGCATTTTAAAGGACATAATGTTTTGGTGATTCACTTGACATAATATGGTTACCTTTTGAATGGGTGAATAGGATTATGGATTATAATTTGTTCCTATTTCTAATATAAACAGTGGTGAGAAACTCGAGTTTTCTGAAGCAAGAAGTGAAACATAAGTGTTTCGAAATTATTTCATTTTTTCCTAATGAAGAGCTCTTAGACAACTTTTCACTTTTTAGGGAATGTGAATTATTTTATTAAACAATTCTAAATTTCGCAAACTTATCAACATTTTGGCGATTTTAAGATCAATTTCTATAGAAAGATTTTTAATTCGGAGAATCTGGGAATTTTTCAACAAATTTTTTTAAAAAACATTATAACATTGATAAAGTTTCATTAAAATAATAATAATATATTGAAATTATATTCAAGAAATTAACATTTAAAATTAAACATTTTATTTTTTCTATATCATATTATAAAGTGACAACACTTTCCATTTTGCTGCATCTTATTATGCGAATAATTTTAAATCTAAAAAATAAATAATGGTAATAAATGCTTTAAATTGCACTTTAGCACAATTTACCAAAGGATTCTTAGCAAACGCAAAATTAGCCGTTACGTAATTAATTAAAAGTGCTTTCATTCCTGAATTTTTCCATGGTAAGAGTGTTTCCCATGTAATTTTCTCAGAATTATGCATCGGTTTTCTTCTTTAAAATTAATTTTACACTCCCCCTTTTAGTCTAATTTTTTTTTTCAAAACATATTTCTGGCTTTTTGCTGTTACAGAATTGGTAGGAGTAATTTTTTTTAGGATTTTTTGGGACATTGCAACATGGAAAGCTTAGGAAAGGATTTGAAGGCAAGGATTTGTAGACCCACGAATCTAGAAGATTTCAGAGAAAATATCTGACATGGTATTAACACGAAATGTCTCCATGGTATTTTACAGAGAAGTTTGCAATGAAATTTCTTACTTTATGGAGAACGTCTGGAAGAACAATGAAAACATAATATTTGAATGTTTTACCTTTGATACTAAAATGTTTATCTTAACATGTTTATCTTCCCTTTATTTTCTGTACTTTTCATTAGGCACAAGCATAGAAAATGTCAAAAAATGCTTCTAATCTTATCACATGGGCTGGCGTGGAATAAAATGAATAAAAAAAACTGAAAACTTACAATTTAAAAAGATTCATCTAATATGTTTTAATACATCATAGTGCTAGAGCTAGGGATTTTCCTACCTGATGCAATCTCCGTGGATCCTAAATTCTGCTGCCTAGTGCCTTTCAAAATCTTGCTTCCAATGCCTGCTCTAAATTCTAAACATTTTGCCATTTCTAGATTTTGTTGCTTGGTGTGTCACTAAATTCTAAAAATTCTGCCATACCAGCTCTGTAACTGACCCTTACTATATATATTTCATATTTCTTCTGAATGTTCATATTACTAAAGAAATAAAATTAGCAGCTTTTTCTATACATTCTAAATGCATTTTTTTTTAGAATAACAGAAATCCTTATTTAAATCCGAAAATTCTAAAATGGGAAGGAATCATGTTGAAGAAAGAAACTGAATCAATAAAGAAAATTATTCTTCAAAGATATTTACAGTTATTATTATGTAAATTACGCTGTTGTTTATGATTTCAGCCTTTGCTATAATTTCCATTTCTTTTTCCTCATATGATAGAGTTATTGAGCCAACTTAAATTAAAATTGTATAGGCTTTGACCACTAAGTCTATATGCATCATGATTATCTCTTTCTATACACAATAAATGACCGCTAATCCACATTTTTAGTTTGAATTTGACTGTTCTTGTTTAATTATATCACCATGAGGAGTAATTGATTTTGTTAGCATCAGAACATGCCCTTTATGTTCTAGTTCTTTTTAAATAAAAAAAGAGGCTTTTTTAAACCTTTGTCCAACATTGTAGTAACTTTCAGACATAATTTGCTTCACATCTGTCAAGGCGTTTTGGACTATACAGTCAAAAGTCTTTAATCCGGACTCGTCGGGACTTCGGCGATTCCGGATTATCGGTTTTTCCGGATTATAGATAATAAATTTAAATTGGTAAGATGGCATGCAGAAATTATAAAATAAAAAAAAAATATGAAACCGTAATTTATGAAATAACGAGCAATTATGATCTAAAAGGTATGAAAATTTACAAAAAAAAAAAAAAAAAAAAAAAAAAAAAAGCTTAATATTTATTTGTTTATTTTATTAAACATTTCTTTCACGTAAAGCATACATTACGCATAGTCGAAATTAGAAAATTGCAACCAGAAAACTATTTGATGTGTATTCGTGATATTTATGATGACGAAGAATTTGATTTAAATCATATCAAAGACTGAGTACATCGAGATGAAATATTACATTTAGTAAGGAATTATAAGCGGAATAAAATAAAAGCGTCTGCGCTGAAGATGAGGATAGTGCTGACAGATGAACTTCCAGTTCATTGCGCGGCGCGACGCCCCCCCCCCCCCCGTATAGCAGCGTGAAATTGATTAACAGATATCGGAATGGTTAGAGAAACAAAGGATATGCTTTTATCCACTTTTTGTTTGATGGACATCGAAACATGCTTTCGCTTTGTAGATCCTTTCGCTGCTCCAGAATCGGAAATTCTTTTTGACATAATCGAAAGTTCAAGCTTACTTTTATAAAACTGCTCTAACAGTCTGCAAAAAATAATAAGCTGGATCCAATTCGAAGATTAAGGAACAACGCAATCTGCAACATTAACTGAAATAGATAATTAGATAATTTAAGCCTAGCTTGCGTTTACGCATGCGCAGAAAGTTTGTAGCTTTGAGGTCTGGATTATAGATCATTACAGATTATAGACATCCGGATTAAAGACTTTTGACTGTATAACTTTTACCAGATCAAGTAAACCACTCATAAGTACATTGTGGAGAGGTTAGCAAGTTAGGAGATAAAGCAAGCAAAAACTAGTGAAAACACTAGGTTTGCATATTGAGACAAATTTCTGATTGTTAGAAAAGATGCTTAAATAGAAGTAAATCGAAACAAATTAGCCAAAATGTCTGCGAAGGCTTCAAATTAAAAAGACGCATAAATATTTTGAGTGTTCTTGTTACAAAACGTAAGTGTTTTGTAGCATTTAATGTGCAGTTATCCTAATATCATTTAAGAATCCATGTTATAAATTACATGCATTTTAAACTGTGAAATTTTATTCGATTGTGATTTTAAAGGGCTTTTTTAATAAATAGTGTTAAAAAATAAATAAAATTTAATAGTGGCCGTGTAAATCCATAATGACTAAGGTTATCTAACCACCTAATTTCATTATTTATAACTAACTGCTTATCCTTAAAAATTATCTCTGCATATTAAAGTGAGTTATTGAATTTCATTAATCCTTACTGTGATTACAAGATAAAAATGCAACACAAAAATGTAAAAATTCATGTAACACTTTTTCTTTGCATATAGTGAGACTTAAAATAATACAAAACAACTTATCTCCTCTGATGCTTTAGTGGCTTATTGGAACCTTAAATTATATTAACTGGGTTACAACCCCTGGAATTTTACACGAAGCTACTACACTATAACTGTGTCAGACAGAGCCCAAACTAACTTTCAAAACTTGCCAACCGTGCCTACATAAGGCCTTTCAGGTTTCTTCCAATCAGCCAGTCTTCTCTGTAGGCAAGCAGCTGCGGTGACAACATCTAGTCTTTTGTTATGAATCATGTTATGATCTTACTTTTTATTTTAACCTATGCCGCTTGACATAAAATCTACCTGCCATTTACTAAACCTCTAGATTGAACAACTATGTGACAAAATGAGACATTAAAAAAAAAAAAAAAAAAAAAAAAAAAATCAACATAAAGCTAACTGTTAGTAAAACATAAATAAAATGTCACTTTTCTTCTTTCAAATATTTCCAACTATTTTGAGTATAAAATATTTAATGCTACTTTATAAATTTCATGAAGTTTTATTCTCAAACTTATCAATAATTATGTTAATTAATTCATGTTTAATAATAATGCATCCTACTTACGGATCTATTTTATTTTTAGTATGGTATTACCAGTGCAGGATTTTAGTTATAAGCTATACTACAAACTATAGCTTAGGGCACCACTTTCTTGGGGGCCCCAAAAAATTAAAATATAGTATAACAGGCTCATAAATGGCCCCATATCTCAAATAGCTTATTGCCTTAACAAGTCTAAACACAGCTATGGGTATTACAAAAGTGAAGTTCAGGCATAGATAATAATTTTAATAGAATTTATTCAGTTCCCATTTGCTCGTAGGTCCTTAATTTTTTTCATTAATGGTCCTTAAAAGTCCTTAAAAGTACTTAATTTCCATGTGCAGAAATGTGTACGAACCCTGAGGACAACTCCTTCTTGGTGTTAGAATTTCATTTTCTATCAGTGTATGTATGTCCTGATATTCAAGTATAATAATTCCTGAATAAAATTTGTGTGTCCCCCTGAAGAATTTTCACAGAAGAATTTCAAAATGATTTATATAGTCTAGCATGACATTTCTTGTATGAAACTTAAATTTTTTTCCTAATTCCATTTTTGATGCCGTTTATTGCAGTATCATTGAATTTTAATACACTTTGACCAGTGATACATGGTTCTTGTTTGAAAGTGTAATTTTTATAGATTTCAAAGTTCTAGGTGACAACAATACATTTAATTCATGAGTAATATTTCTCTGAATTTTTTTGATAAATGAGTTTCTGTCTGAGATTTTTGTTTTGTCTCTTTATATTCTTAAACAAAATGACTATTCAGAATTGTAGCTCATGTAAGAAATAACTTGTTGGTCCACCTTAAAGTTTTTTGTTGATTATGTTAGCCATTTGGTCTTTGAAATATATGGGACTGATTGTGCATATTAATTAGCATAAATGCGTGTCATTTATATCTCCAGCTTGTTGCTATCATACCATATGAAAATTGTTCTAAGTATCCTCCTGTTTTCATTTATGGAGAAGATAGATGTTTTGGATAATATTTTTGATTAGATTACTGTGTTTTTGAATTTGATAAAATTCAAGAAACAGTTGGCCCACCAGCAGCCAAGCTGAACTTTGATAGTTTGACCTGAGTTCACTTCTGTTGCCGTAATTTTTCCTAAAATAGTATTTTGATTATTTCATCAGCTGAATAGAGCACAAGTCTGTAAAACTAAGAATTCACAGGGCAGCACTGTTTCAGTTGTAATGGGAAAATAAGCAAGTTATTTAAATTAATAAGATGACCTAAGCAAAACTTGTTTCAAAGGAAACTTGCTGAATTTATATCAAAGCATTCTTTGTGTTAAGGAATTGAATGTTTTTTTATTTTTTAATTTAATTTAATATTTTTTTGAAACTCTCTGAACTAAAATGCCTGATTAAAAAATTGCTTGTGATAAGTTATTAAAAAATTATTCTTCTTTTAAGCTTTAAAATTTTTTATTCTGTTATTCTGATCAGCAAATAACAATGGTGTGTATTAGAAAATTCGTTAAACTCCATGTTGTCAGTTTCTTAGCATGAGATAAAACAATGGCATAAAGCTTTAATGCTGTATCTGGATATTTTTTAGATATTTAAAAAGTTAGAAGTAAATTATCATGAAGTATGCTCTGTAATACTCTTAATATTTGCAGATGCATGTGTTGATTTCTCGATGTGCAGCACCTACTATTTCTATAGACCAAGAAACATCAGAAGCAATCAAGGTAAACATTTACAATTCACTAATTATATTTAGGGAAGGAAATATAAGCTAGGTCTGGGATTAATATGTCAGTCTTTGAAAAAATTTTAATTTATTTTTTACTTTTGCATGGTATTACTGAGCATATATATATTATTGCACTGTGTTTAATTTCATTTAAAATATTTTACTAATGTTAAGTGCATTTTTCTCCCAAAATTTAGACTTGCATGAGTTCTCGATATGACACCATGACTCACACTTTAGATTTGTCCAAGTTTCATGTTGATACGAGTGAGTAAATTTTTATGTTAAACAAATTGTTACAGTGTATATGAATGTAAGTCATTATTTTTTTTTTTAATATACATGCATGTGCATGTATGAAAAATTTAACTTGTTTTAAATTATCTTGGGAACTGTTTAAGACTGGCAGTTATTTTATTTATTATATTGTCATGAAGTTTTATCTGTAATTTGGTGATTAGTTCTTGAAGAATAATGCCTGTATCCAATGGAATTTGTTTGGAAAACTGAACAGTGCTGATGGAATTTTGTGTATAATGAGATGTCAAAAATAATGTTAGCTATTTTAAAAATCCTTATAGCAGTCTGAGAATGGGAACAATTTTCGTGTTATTAATCGAACAAGGCCTAAATGTAAAACCAGTTTGAATGATGACACATTTTAAGCACGATAGGGCATTCCTCATTCTGCGAGACTGAAACGCACGACGAGTTCCTTCGTCCCTTAAAACCAGGCACAGAGGTTCAACCTCTGCCCTCGCACCTTAGAAAGAAGGACGTATCACTTATAGCGACACTGGTTGTCAATTTGCTACCTGCCAGTCGCTTGGGCTGCCCGTTGCAGTGGGACATTACCCAGCAAACTCCTGGGCTACTAAAGCCACACTGCTCTAGGACTTGCCAGACCACCGAGCTGGCCAATGAGTGACCTTTCCGGGGCTTCCAGAACCATTAGGTTCATAATCATACCCCCATGGCCGAGACTGCTTGGGTACAGATCCTAGCCAGTAGCTTCGCTGAGCTATGTCGACCCCGGGGGGGGCATTGAAAAAACTTTTGTTGGTGAAAGCAGGTTGCTATGGCAATTACCGTGAATAAAATTATGCTGCTTCTTTTTCAAAGGGTATAAAATCTGTCACATATGTTAACAATGAAATAAAACTAATTAGATATAATTATATATTAAATATTCAAATATTAATTAGATATTATTGAAAATAGTTTATTATTTTAAAATGCCATAAACTTTCAAAATTACAAAGAGAATTATAAATCATTCTACAATACAGTCCTTCAAATTTATTGGCATATTTTATGATTGGAACACTTTCAAAATAAAGTGGTAGTTATAGGCACTATGAGCAGTTTTAACCTCCCTCCTCAGAAAAGTCACTCTACAGAAATTTGAAGTCTTCAGTTAGTCTTTTATCTTTTCTTAACAAATAATTCTTAGAATACTATAGAATGTTTTCCTGATTCCTAAGTTGTTCGTTAAAAGTCATGTCTTTACAATGCAACATCAGTGTTAAGTTAGAATATAGTGCAACATATTGGATATAGTGAAAAAACGCCCACTTGGCCATCTGGATCCAGCATGCCAGAGCATGTATTAGATCTGAATGTAGTTAATTACTGTCAATAAATTAGTTAGTTCTTTTGCTATACAGTCCACTCATTAGTTTAGAAACAGTACAATCAGCATGGTGCTTTAAAAAAAGGGGAATGCCTTCATACCTCTTTTTCTTTTCGATCCAAAATACACTGCTGGCCATTAAAATTGCAACACCAGGAAAGAAGAATCTGAAGAATGTCAAAATCATATGAAAGGAAGAAGAGATTAGGATATGCAAATGATTAGTATTTCAGTGCATTTAGACGACGCAGGAGGGAGAAACGACGTCTGAAGCACTGCGTAAAAGAAAAGTTGTGTAGTCGATTTCTCATTCAGAAAGCGCTTTGTGAGGTCGCAGTTTTCTCAGAATACCATGCTATGCCTCATATAAGAAGAAGAAATGCTTACCAGCAAGTGTTGGAATTCGATAGAGACAGGTTTGTCGCCTATTGAGAGTTTGGATTATTGTTCCATGATATCACCCATCACACTGGTCGACATCTAACCACTGTCATGCGAATATGGGATCAATGGATTGCTGAGGGTCATATTGAACGGCATAAAGGGCCTCGATGGCAACCATTACTTGGGCTTCCCCTTGACAATGTAGCACAGAGAGAGACAGCAACTCTGGTGCGCCGAATGACAAAGCTGAATACAACAGTGACACAACTTCGTCTTTTCATACGGGTCGCGGTTCTACGTACATTATTCTGCTGGCCTTATACGTGTCTAGAGGTTCCGAGGAGACTGCATGTCACCTGCTTCCATTTGATATTGACATAGGGGCCCTGCACCTGGTGTGATCGTTTGGGCAGCCATTAGATACACGACACGTACATCTCTTGTTTGGATCGACGGTAATTTGAATGCAGATCGGTATATTTCTGACATCTTGCATCCAGTAGTTGTGCCCTATCTTTGAGACCTGCTTAAAACCATCTTCCAACAAGATAATGCGAGACCACGTGTTGCACTTCGTGTTCTCACCTTCCTCAAATACACAGGATATTCGACTGCTGCTTTGGCCTGCATGATCTCCAGATCTGTCGCCCATTGAAAACATCTGTTCATGGGTTGGTGAGAGACTGGCCCGCTAACCCTTTCCAGCTACTGTGTTTGATGAAGTGTGGTATACATTTGAAGCAGCATGGATTGAGTTGCCTGTTTCTGTCTTCGAAGTCCAGTTCGACTCCATGCCTAATCGGGTAAGGGCCGTTTTAGCTGCCAGTGGTGGTAGCTGTTTCTACTGATTTTTCACCCCTGCAAACCCCAAAACTGCTTACAAATTTAATCATTTTGTCTTCATGCCATACTGTTTGTGCACAATATTTTTTGTATGTGCTTTCCTTCATGGTGTTGCAATTTTAATGGCCAGTGTAAGTTTATCAGCATTTCACAATTTTTTTCTGATTTTATCTTTGTTTATAAGATGCTTTCATTTAGAGGCATTTTTGAAAGAAATAATTTATTATGTTTATTTGTTTTTAGGTCTAAAGAACCTTGGTCTTTACATTCCTTTACACAAAACTGTTTTTTTTAATGCTGTGATGAAAATAGTCAAAGAACACATACCTCAGGTATATAGGTTTAGTTCATTATCATTTTATGCTTATAAAGTAGCTCATTTAAAGTTGAATAATTACATCACTTGTATTTAATATGTAATTTTAATGATGTATTTCCATACTTTTAAAAATTATAATGCATATAGATTTATATATTCTGTTGTATGTGTTTATTAATTTCAGCTCGAAACATTGAATCTTGCTGACAATAAGCTATATTCTTTACAACCTATGAATATTCTTGTTCCTGTGTGCAAACAGTTGAAGACTCTGAGTCTCCGAAATAATAAGGTATGAACAAGAATGTATTTCTACATTTTTTGCTTTGTATGCAATGCTCTCAAAATTCTGTCAGTATTTGCAGAATTATCCTAAGTAATTTGTGTAAATTTCCTATTTCCATTGTTTTTAGGCGCTAACATTATGCTTCTGTCGAAACTATGTATTATTGTGAATGAAAGTAATTTTCTAATTCTTGAACCATAATGAAGTTATTTAATAGAGACTTGTGCTTTAACTTCTGTTGTCGTATACATCGTTTTAGAAAGTTGATACTTGCATATATTTTATAACAAAAAGTTGAAATGCATGTTTTCTCAAGTAACATATTTTTAATACTGTTTTAGTAGTATTTTATTAATAGCCACCTTATAATAATAAAAAAAATGCCACCTTATGAAAATCTCCAATAAAATGGTTAATTTTTTATTTAAAGACTGATTTAGAGTATTGAAAGTCAATTGGGTCAACTTGTTTTTTCTTATGCACCAACTGCTATAATTTGAATGTGTTAGTAATTACATCTGAGGCAAATTTTTTAATAATAGTCATTAAATTGATATCAAAAGCTTACGTAAGCTGTGACTTCTGATCTATTTGTTAATATAATATTATATAAAATAACTTCAAAATATTAATTTAAATTTTTTGTATAATCATAAAATTTTTTATGAGTATACTGTTTAATTTGCAAGCTATATTTACTCATCAAAATTGATATCTCATTGCCTGTAAATTCTTCATGTTTTTGTCAAAAAACAAAGGCTGTGAATTCAACTTGAGCATGGATCTCAATTTTTGCATGAAATTGTAATTTTAAACAAAACTCGAAGTGAGGTGGACTGCAGTATTTTATTATTTTACTATTTATTCTTAACTTAATTTATTAGTTTATCCCTGTACATTCTGTTTAAACATTTATTATTTATTTATTTTACCTCTTCTAGCAACTTTTTATAAAGCTTTTGTACTTTTAATTATATAAATTAAGTCCTGACTGAAATGAAAGCTAAATTCACACTTAGGGTCGAATGGAAGATAATTATTTTTCTGCAAATAAAAAATAAGAGCCTGAAAGTACCTCAGAATTTTGAAATTTATCTTACCTGAGATTGTATAGATTTTCTTTTCAAAAACTGTGCTGAGAAATGCACTGTCATGAAAATATCACAAAGTTTTGAATTATTTTCTTACTTGAGATTGTCCAAATTTTCTTTTCAAAAACTGTGCTGAGTACAAACCACAATTAGCTGTAAATGATACTTCTAATAGCACTTGAATTGCTCTGTGCAAACTTCTTTTAATTTATTCAAACATGATATTTAAGAGTAATTATGTAGTTTTTAGTTTTTGTTGAATAAATACTTCATACTTGATTAAATAAAAAGTTTCGTAAAACAAAGTGAAAATGTAGTATTGCAACATAATTTTTAGAGGGGGAGAGCAAATATGTATGTACACTTTTTTTCTTTGCTGTTTATTAGATTTTTCGCAAGGTTTTCAACTTAACTGCTTTGCCCTTCAGTACAAAAATTTTAGTTGTAAAAATTCTGTTTCAGAGCTGAGAATTGCAATCAAATTCTATCCTTCTTTTAATTTTTTGTTAATATAAATTAGAGTGGTCTTTTGTAATCTGAGTTCATGGTAATCCAGATATTTAATTGTCAAACACGTACAAGTTATAGATTGTTCTCATTTCCTAACAGCTGGATAAATGTGAAAATTAGAGCAGAAAATTTATTTTATTGTGTTGGTGTGGATAGTGTTGCAGTTAAATATAATCATGTGGAATAAGAAATATGGCTGCATGGTATGGTAGTGTACAGTTGTATTGTTCGGATTACTGCTGTTCTTTTGAGTTTTAAGTAATTTTGGCAAAATTAGATAATTCTCTCTGTAAGGGAAAGATGTAAAAATAATAATTTTTGATTTTTTTTTCAGAAAGAGCATAGAAAATTTAGGGTTTTTACTTTACTGTTAAAGTTTTAAAATTCAATTGTTTAGAATTACTACTGTAATGCTTTTTTTTTTTTTTTTTTTTTTTTTTTTAGATCCGATCTGTTGCAGAATTAAACCATTTGAAAGGAATGGATATCTTAGATTTAGTATTGGATGGTAACACCTTACGTGATGAATTTAAAGATCTAAGTACATATATCAGGTAACCTACAGTGTCCTGTATTGTTCCAACATAATATGTGTATTTTAATAAGGAAATGCTGATTTTATATATGTTTTTATTTTATCAGCCAAGTATAAAAAAATTCTGTCACTGAATTAAAATTCTTTATGAAGGTTCTTAGATTTCCCTCAGATTTATAACGAGGAAAATTTAAAAAAGGAATAAGCTTTTTGGAAGTTATTTATTCAGTTGCTGGTTTAACATTTGGTGAATTTCTAATCTCAGTATATATATGCCTGTGAAAACTATCATTAATAGCTTGAAATTTACTTTGGATTGATTCCAAGTAAATTTTAAAAAATTTTATTGTTTTTTAAAAAATTAAAATTTATTAGATTTTTTAGTGTGACCATTGTTTCATTAAATGTGCTATAATCTTTTTATTAAATTTGTTACTTTGTATGAACTTGATAGTTTATATATCTATCAGTTCTTCAAAGGTTTTTCCATTCTTTTTAAAGAATTTTCAGTGCTGTTAAATAGGAAAAAATTCTGAATAATTCCTAAAGATCACCTTTTATTTAAAGAAATAGCCCCATTTTGAAGAATAATGTTATAAATTTCATTCCTACAGTTAACTTAAAATATAATTAAAAAAATATACAAAAATTATGAAATACATTTTTTTTGTGCTTGATATGCATCCTAACAGAGCGGAATTACAAAATTATTGCTATGTTAACTACAGTGAAACCTCAGTTCACGAATTTAATATGTTCTTCAAGGCTATTCATCAAATGAAATGTATGTTAATAAACTAAAAGTGTTTTCCCCAAAACTAAAGCAGCTTCAGAGATTTAAAGTAAAATGGTTTAAATCATTCCTGTACAGAGAAATGATGGTTTTTCTTAAACTTTACAATTATACTTTACATACAAATTCATAACTCCAGAACCAATGGGCCCACCAGCGGTTGAGCAGTAACGTCGCTGAACACTGGTAGTTCGGTCCGAGGTTCGAATCCCATGAACGGGCTGGCTGCATGGATGTTTTCGTGGTTTTTCCCCATGTGTAACGTGTATACGAGCCAGTTTCCCTTAAAAAGTCCTCCACGAAGGCATCCCTCCCTTAAGGCAGATAGCCCTCGAGTGTTTTGCTGTAATCTAAAAAACCAGAACCAATGGAAATCATTAAATATAAAAAGGATAATGATTAATGTAATAAATATTAAACAGATGGAAATTTACTTTTACTGAATTTGTATGGTGAGAAAAGAGCATAAGTGGAAAATGATGAGCAAGAGGTTTTTGTACAGATGAGGCAATTTCTTTCCTGAAAACATCAGTTAACTCTCTTTAAAGGCACCTTCTTTTATCTTTGCTGTGTCCTTGAGCAATATTTATCTCTGTTTGAGACCCACTTAGCCTCTATTTCACTCAAAATTTGTTAAGTGTAACTTATTGTTGCTTACATTTTAAAATATCTTTGAAGTGAGACATGGCATTGCCATTGAAAATGCTTGTGCTGTAGCTTGCTACTGTTTTATCAGCGTGATGTCATTACATAAAACTTTTAGCTTGGTCTCTTTTGTATAAATTTCTCACATTTTGGAACTGGGGTAATTTTTCTTTCATTCCTTTCTGAAGACATTTCTTCCATGTAATCACCTTTTTTACAGCTTCTGTAGCTCTTCTTGATGAGCTCATTTTTATTATCCTCTGTTACCTTCTCTGCAACTTCGTTGTTCGCTTCCTAGCCCATGGTTTTACCTAAAAACATAATATTGCAGATAACAAAAGAAGTTCTTAGAGCACTCAAAGTCTCTGCATGCAATGCAGTTTGGACATTATTTCTTCCAGAGTGAATTCATAATCCTGTAAGTCATATGCTGTCAGGCTTTGTTAATGAGAGTTAAGCAGTGAAAAATATTATGTTTCCGTGAATTCCTGAATATTAATTATGGGGCATAAGTTATCTTAAAACACCTTTGTAAAACCATATATTATTGTTATAACTTGAAAAACTGTTTGTCATCCGAGGCATATTTTTTTAAATAATTTGTAAAGTGAGGCATTCGTGACATGAGGTTCCACTGTATAAATATTTCTAAAATTTACCGCCTTTTGCCTGCAACTACCATTTCTTTATGTATTTTCTTTTTCTAAAAAATTTGATTTATGTGTATTTGCATATGAAAACATTTTCCTGAAGGGGAAATTTAGAGTTCTTCATTTATATGTCAAAGGAAAAAAAAATTCATTTATTCACAAAATATCTTAACTATTAAATTGTTGCGGGAATAGTTTTTAAACATTTATTAGATAAATTTCTTCTGTTTTCCTCTTGCCTTTTAATATTTTATGTAAAACATGTTTGTAGTTTATTTTCAGGCATATTCAGGCTGTTTGTTGGATGCTATTTTGACCAAGAAATGGAATCGCATTGTATTTCATAATTTAAATTCAGTTGCGTCTATAATTAAATGAAAGAATGATGGGTTGCTCACTTTTCACCATATGGATGGTTTCAACATGTTTGTTCATTGGACTGCAGAAATTGTTAATTAATGAATTTCTATAAATTCTAAATTTTTACTTGGTTCTGTAAGCAAATCAGTGGAAGATTTTGTGAAAGGAAATTTTGTTTTTCATCAGTTTTTTTCATGTGAAATCGATTTACTAAACTTAATTTCTTTTCTACAAATTTATTTACTAAGGTTTTATTTTTTTAACTCGCTCATTTTTTTTATCTTTTTTAGTTTGATTCTAACAAAGTTCTTTAATGCAAAATTATACATTAATTTTTTTGTTTGCTTAACCATTAAACTAACTTTAAAATCATATTTTTGAGATAAATTGATTATCATTAAAACTTGTATGTTGCAGTGCCATTCGAGATAAATTTCCCAAGTTAATTCGTTTGGTAAGTATTTTCGTCTCAAAATTTCATTAAATAATCTGTTGATTTTGATGTATGGAATTTCGTTTATTTTTGTTAAGAAGATGAGCTAAATTAAATCATATCTGAAAAGAATACATGCTTGTACTGTTATTAGCTTCATATTAAATGTCTTAATCTCCTTCACATTAGAAAATCTCCAATGAAGGCATCCCTTCCTTAAATAGGTATTGCATGTGTGTTTTGCATAATTGATTAAACAGACTTCTTCCTGGGGGAAGAAGTTAAGAGTTTCAAGAAAGCATAAACCAGAGGACATGGAATTTGCAGAACTTTTTCTCGAAGCTTTCTGCGAAAAGTACATCCCAAAGTCCTTTTCTTTATTATTTGAGATTTGTCAATGATATATTTTTTCAATGCTTTCTAGTCATTGAAGATGTGTAATGATTACTTATGTCATTCTTTGCTCATTTCTAGTCATCAAAGATGGATAATTACTTCTTGAAATACAGCAATCTTAGTCTGCTCAGTGATGAATTACATTTTCTAAATTTACCTGCAGAACTTAAATAATTTCAGATGTATATATATATATTTTAAATGAGACTTTAAGCCATTTCCAGATTTGAAAATTGTCATTTGGTTTTTATACTTTTCTGTATGACTAAGTTCTTAACAAAATTAAGTATAGTAAAAAATTTCACATTAACAAATACCAAATGTAAAGTTCTTGGTATTTATATTTACATATCACATTATATCTATGTGATATTTACATATCACATAGATATAGTGTTATCACATAGATATAAATTACATCAGTTATTATTAAGAAATAAAAAAAACTTTAAATTTAAATTATTAAAAAGTTTTCTTGCCGTCAATGTTTTATTTCATGTGTTAGGTAGTTGTGATTTAGAAGCTAAATGAATTAAAGATCTTATATTGCATCAAGTGGCAGCATTTTGGAAATTGCTATTTGCTAGGTCACATGGCTGATAATTTAAAGACTTGTGCAATAACAACACTTGCCAAGGTGCATAGATTTTAAATGCACTTAACTCATCAGTTGAAAACTTTTGGAAAAACTATAGTTAAGGCAAGTACTAAGATTAAAATAAGATACTCTACTAAGATTAAAATTCCTGTGTGGTTTAATATTCAGAAACATAACAAATGGTTAATGAGTGTGTGCATCTTCTTTGAAGATGATATGTGTATACAATCATTTTTTAAATGCTGTGTGTTTTGTTTGACGAGTTTTATCTAGTAGATCAGTTGTAGAATAGGATATAAGGAACTTTCCCCCTTCTCCGCCTAACCCCCTTAGAAAAAAATGAATTTAACTTTTGGAAGCATTAGTCTTATCCATAGAAATCTTGAGAGTTGAAGGTCTGATGTGAAATGAAGATTAATAGTTGTGAAACTTATTTTTTTTTTTTTTCACTTAAAATGCTTTTTTGCCCTCTTTTTCCAGAAAGAAGGTTTGGGAAAGCTTTTGCAGAAGACATTTGTGTTTGCTTTTCTGCTTCTACTTTTGTGTGGAGTTTGATGGAGAAAAATGCTTATTTTGACCTGTTTATGACACAAATGCATAACCTAACATTTTTTAGGAAGATGATCATATAATATGGGAATTATCAATAGAACTTTTTAGTTATATTTCATAAAAGCATGTCTGTCCCTTTGTGTTCAAGTTACTTAACTTTCCTAACTTTTTTCCAGCTACAGTAAAATCTTGACTGTGAAGCCCGAATACCACATAATTAAGCATGTTTAAAAAAAAAAAAAAAAAAAAAAAAAAAAAAAAAAAAAAAAAAAACCCAAAGTCTACATTTAAAATCATACAAGATTTTGAAAAGAAAAAGGGAACGCATTTCAGTCATAAAAGCCCTCGTATTCCGTAGACCCTAAACATGAATATAACATCTGCTAGGATTATAAAATTTCTCCAAATGTGAAAATTTACAGAGATGTCGCAGATCATATTGTCAGAAGTTTAAATCAACAGATCATTTTTTTATTTAGTTAATGAAGAGATGCAAATTATGGATATAGCATGGGAAAAACTTAAATTACTTATCATAATCTTTCACATTACATGTTTATTTTTTATCCATTTTCAAGAGCAAATGCAAACTTTTTGATAACTCTGAAAATGTGCATTTCGTGGAATCCCAAGTATCAGTTTTTTCTAAGTGCAAGAAACAATAGAACTTATATCCTTCTACACAAAAATTGAAACAAAAGGAACTTCTTTTACTTGTGATGTCATGTTTATCCATCATTGTTATAAAATCACACTGTTTGGTGACAATATGTACTTATTAATGGTGTTGTGAGCTCAATAATGGTGTTAAAAATCTCTCATTTATTAAATTTTTCTGGGAAAAAAATTTCTTCTAAAATTTTGAAATATTCTGGTTAGTTGAATGCAAGTTGGGCTTTTACCATATTAGGTTTTTCCTGTTGATTTACTAATAATTAATGCTTATTGTTAATTGTAATTTAATTGTCTGCTAAGTTTATACTGAATTTAAAATGTTTAGCATATAGAGATAACTTTTTTAAATCATATACCATTAATTAAGGCAATGCATCATTAAAAAAAATTTTAAATAATGATTAAAATTGTATTTTTGATGTGTTTTTATAGGATGATCAAGATTTACCTGCTCCAATTGGATTCGATTTAGGCCCCGAAACTTTTCCGCCATCAAAGGTAGCGAAATATAATTATAAATTTAATTTGTGTTCTTAATGCTCTATGGATGTATATTTAACAGCTGTCGAATGTTTTTAATAAATTTAAACAGTCCTCTTTTTTTTAAGCAGTGCAAAACACATTATTTTTTAAAAAAAGATTATTTTGTTATATTTTTACAGAAAAGCTTCTTTGCAGCTGAAGATGTTAAAGATTTAGTAATTCAGTTTTTGGATCAGTAAGTATCATCTCATTTTATATGGCTTCTGAAAGGGAAAATATTACCTAAAAGAAAATTTAATTTTTATTATCTTATTTCACGTTAACTTTATTTATTGCATTTTCCTACAAGACAGACTCTGTAGTAAAAGTATTAAATTAGTTTAATGTCGTGATATGTATGTGTATATATCAAAAAGTAAAGGTCGAAAAGAAAATTAAATTATATTCTATTCCAAAAATTTGAAGGTCTAACTTCCTCTCTCTCTCTCCAGGCAAAGGTTACCAAACTGAATAAACACAAATTAAGAAAGCATTCAAAAAAGAAATCTAAAAGAAAATTACAAATTACAAATTTTTTTTAATAAATATAGAACATGAGACATAACAAATTGCAAAATAATTTTGCTCAAAAAAGAATTTTTATTAATCTTGTCTGTTCAAAGCTTCAAAACAGAACTTGTCAATGGAAAAGATTTTTGAAGATTTAATCCAAGTTGATTAATGAGTTCTGAATACATGTTTCTTTCCTCTGAACCATTTGAGACTTAAAATCGCATTTCATTACTAAATCATAATTCTAAAAATAAATTTCTAATTAGTCTCAAATGCTCAGATCTTTCCCCTACATGCATTGAAAAAAGAAATTACAAAAAGTGAACATCCGAAATAGTACAAAAAAACCTAAAAATAAGCAAAACAAACTAATTACACAAAATGAAATTAAATCATTTTGGGAAAATTCTAAAACAAGAATTAAGGAATCGATTTTGCTTTTCATATTTGAAAAGCAATAAATTGTTCATAACTGAAGGCGAGAGAAGAACAGTTCTGTGTATATGTGAAAAACCATTCAAGTAATTTTATGTGCGTGATGTATTATAATAGTAATAAATCTCATTTATATTTTTCAAATTTTACAAAAGGAGGAAATTATAATGTTTTTTGTAAGTTTAATCAAAATTACATATCTGCAAATATAAACTTATTGCTGTTTATGTGTATAATTTATATTCTTTGACAATAATTTTGGTTAAATTTGAGGATTAATCATTTTATTAATCAAATTCAGCACTTAAATCTCAGTATTTGTTTCTTAAAATATGTGTAGCTTATGTAAAATATGTGTTAATATTTGTATCTTAATAGCTATAATTGTGCTTATTCAAATTTTCTGCAATTTACAGATATTATACCATATATGATTCAGGGAATCGTACACAACTTTTAGAAGCATACCATGATCAGGTATGTATTTTCTTATTATGTATATATTTTTTCATGATTAAATAGTACTTTTTGTAAATGTTTGTAATTCTTGAATTAAAGTTTTCAATTTGATTGCAATTATCTCTATTTTTTTAAAAATTATTTTCAAAACATACTGAGTTAAACACATTAGTAAATTGTTAAAGTCATATAAAAGCTGATTTTGCAATTGTTATGAAGTAAGTCCCCTTCCCTTACCAGGAGCAGAAGTGAGATTTGATCTACTGAATTGAATTCTTACATTTGTTTAAGTAAATGAAGAATATTGTTTAATATTAGACAAAAAAAGCAACTTTAGATTTGGCATGTATGTTAAAAACAAAACTGTTGATTTCAAAGATAATTTGCCATTAATTCTTCCTCTGCAGAGGGAAAAGAATCTAGAATTTTTCTCCTGATGTAAAGGGACCATGTCAGATTGCCATGGAAACTAAAAGTTAATTCAAAATCTGTGCCGGTTCCAAGGTTACTTTTTGCGTAATTTTAGTTTTTATTTTGGCATTTTCCCCTTCCAATAATGTATATTATTATGCTTAATGCCTTAGTTATCCATGCATCAGTTTAACTTAAATTTCTTTTAAAAAAAGGAAATAAATTTGCTATATGACAGGGTTCCTACGGTCCTTAAGAGTCTTTAAAAGTCCTTAAATTTCTTGAAATCGATTTTTGCCTTTAACCCTTTGACGGTCGCGCCTTGAAACTAACAATTTTCGAATTTTTTTCTCCTCTTCATTTGGAAATTTTTGAGTGAAAATCAATTGATTACTGATCTTTGACCTCTAAATAACACAAAATAACTACAGAATCATGCATGTTTTAGGTCTTAGTACTTCAAATCGGATGCCTTTTAAAATTCGTTTTCAATGAGACAAAATAACTTCCTTTTATTATTATAAACAACTTTAAATTTCAAAAGTTATTCATCGCACATCATGATTTCTGTCATAAACAATAAAAAATAGCAATAATTAAACTGCATATATAAAAAAAAAAAACCCTCTATATGTATGGCATTTGATTTGTAGTTTCAGGGCACGACCACCAAGCCTCTTTAAAACCACTGCTCTTCGCAATGGCGTTTGCGTGCTTCTCAAATAGGAATGTTTATTTTTACCCGGATATAGATAAGGGGTTTTGAAATCACAGAGTTATTTTATTACTAAACAATACACGCACCTGCCCAGTAAAAAGGTCTTTCTTTTGCAGAGACTTTTTCTCTTACCTTAACACGCTTGCTCCCCAAGCTAGTATTGTGATTTTATAAATTATTTCCTGTGGTTTAAATTTAACGTAAATATACTTAACTGTAATTAAAAATAGAAATCGCGTAAAGTTTTATTTAAATTAAAAATATTTTCTGAGTATTTTGAGACTAAATACGAATAAAATAGGTATGAATGGGAAACGAATGATCCATACCAAAGCCAAAAAGACCAAGGCCTTTCCCCAATAACATAGAAAAACCACAAATGTCATGTGCCAGATGAAAAGAAACTAAATAATGCTGGACATATACCGGTGAAATTTAGATCCAGTGAAACATATACCAGTGAAATTTACATACCAGCGAAATTTGGTCCAGGCAGTGTACATTTTGTAGCACAAGTAAGAAACATCATAGAAGAAGATACATGTGCGAAACATGCAATGTGAGTCTATGCATGTACCAAACAGACAAAACATGCTTTGAATAGTGTTACAAAAAATATTTGTTCTTTGAAATAAAAAAAATTAAAAAAAAAAAAAAAAACACTGAGTCTTTTTTTATCCTTATTTTACTGAGTTTTTTAATCAAGGCCAAACGTCCTTATTATGTAGGTACTTATACTTTCACTGCTATAGAAAAATTACATAAATGTTTATTTTTTAATTTTTTCTTACGATTTAGTTTGTAAAATATATATATTATGCAATTCTTACATGCATTTTTTAAAAAAAATTCATAAATTTCGTCATTTATTGGAAATGGGAATGGAAAAAGGTAATTTTTTTTTTTTCCTTGCTACCTAGGTAAGTTTAAAGTCCTAGACGTGCGGTGGTTTCACAGTGCGACCACCACCCACAAAACAATGGGCAAGAGTAGATTTTTTTTAATTCATATATTATATGTCTCTAGGATCATAATATTCAATTTGTAGAGTTTTTAAGTTTAAAAAATTATAAAAATAATATCGCGCGCGTCAAAGTGTTAAGTCCTTAATTTTAATCATTTGGAATTTCTGTTTTTATGACTGCCATTTTGAGTGTGAATTAGCATTTTGGAGGAATATTTTTGGCGATTCACTGACGTATATGGTTATCTTTTGAAAGGGTTCATGGGTTAGAATTTGTTTCTATTTCTGATATAAGTGATGGAATACTCGAGTTTCTAAGCAAGAAGTGAAACATAAGCATTTCAAAATTCATTTTTTTTTAATAAAGAGCTCTTAAACAACTTTTCGCTTTTGGGGTTGTGAATTCTTTTATTAAACAGTTCTAAATTTGATAATGTGTCAACATTTTGGCAAATTTTTTAAAACATTGATAAATTTTTCATTAAAATAATGGTAATATTTTGGAATTATATTTAAAAAATAACATTAAAATAAAAAATTTTAAAATTAATCATATTATAAAGTTTTATTTTGGCAATATATTATACAATATTTTGAATCTGAAAAATAAAACAAGGTATAATGCTATAAAGCATAATTTACGAAACAGCTCTTAGTAAAAGCAAAATTAGCTATGTAATTAATTAAAAATGTCTTCTTTTTTATTTTTTCATAGTAAGCGCTTTTTCCATGTACCGTATTTGACGGCATATAAGACGCACTCTTATTTAGAAGGCCACACACAAGGAAAAAAGAGTTACTGTGGTTTCTTTAGTTCTCATGTTTTGTAAAAGCCAAATAAATAATCATTGAATGCAATTACCAAGCGTATTTTTATTAAGGAAAATTAACAAACTGCAAGCTATTTTGAAATGATATGTAAAATTTCAATAATGAATAAATGAATAAATGGCAAGCAATCAAACATAATACAAAATAAAGCAGAAACAACAAAAAACACAGATTCAAGGAAAACGTTGCCTATCATGACATTAGACTTTAACTACTTTCAAAACCATAAAAATCCTTTTCACTATCACCATCATCGAAAACGAGAATATCGTCATCACTACTGTTTCCGTCATCGCTAGTATCACCTTCTTTGAATAATGCGTCGTCTTTTGTTCCGTCAAGAGCATTACTGATTCCGCACTTCTTAAAGGACTTAAACAATTACTGAAGCCTTTACGTCCTCCCAAGATCTTTTTACCCACTCGCACACTTGTGAAATAGAGGGCCACTTCATTCTACCTGAGGGTGTGAAGGCGTGATGTGGCTCTCCTATCCACTTGTTCCATTGTTCTTGCACTTTTTCCTTAAATGGCTTATTCACCGATACATCTAAAGGCTGCAATTGGCTAGTCAGTCCACCAGGAATGACAGCTATCTGGGTTTTTAATTCTCTTGCTTTATTCTTTATGGTTTCAGTTCCATGGGTGCTAAACTGATCCAAAACCAAAAGAGAGGGTTTTCTTAAGAGTCCACCTGGTCGCCTCGCCCATATGTCTGTAACCACAGTTTCATTTCAGCTTCGTCCATCCAGCCTTTCGGATGAACATGAACAATTACACCCATTGGAAGTTTTTCTTTTGAATATGAAAAACGACGGTAGTTTTGTGCCATCAGCACAACATGTTAGAACTACCGTATATCGGGTTTTTTCATGACCTGTGGTTTTTATGGTTATTGATTTAGACCCTTTAATGCTCACAGTCTTTATTGGATGGTACATCAAATGTGAGTGTAATTTCATCCATATTTCCTATTTGACTGAGCTCAAAAGAAGCTTTCTTGCTTGCATTTATAACAAACCTATGAAATGCTAGTATTTTTTCTTCATAATCTGCTGGCATTTTCTGTGCAATAGTTGTTTTTGTGTGCAATGATAAGCCTTGCCTTTTCATGAACCTGTAGCACCAGCCCTCGGACTCTGAAAAGTTCTGATTCCCATGTTTTTCTGCAAATCCTTTGGCCTCATTGATTATCATTTTGTTTGAAACACTTATCCCAGATTTTCTCTTATCTATCACCCACATTTTTATGGCGTTTTCAAGTTCAGGCCAAGATGGAGCTGGGCATCGAAGGTTATGTTTTTGTTTTTTTAGCAGTCTTCAGTTGATCTTCCTGCAGTCGCCAAGTACGTATCATTTTTTCAGTAGGTGATGGACCAAAATGCCTTGCTGCTGCTCTGTTTCCATGCACTTTGGTGTAGTTTAACACTCCTAGTTTATACTGAATTGTATAGCTTAATCTCGTTTCCTGTAGTAATATTTTCCAGGGTATTTTTTCTAAACACATAGTTTTAAGCACCGATACCGACATGTGTGTCGGCTGAGTCAAAGAAAGTCTGTAAAGAAGAAAAGGCTCCAAAGGCGTAATGTGACCGTCGAACCTGTTCGAACTTCGACATCAGCTTTGAGCTTTGTCGCGTTTCGGTGACAGATATTTCACGCATGCACAAAATAATTATGGCAGATGTAGAAAAAGTTATGAGCATTCAGTATTGAAAGTTAACCTGTGTCCTTCACATATAAGACGCAGATAACTTTTTTGAGACCAAATTTAGGAAGAAAAGTGTGTCTTATATGCCGTGAAAAACGGTAATTGTCTCAGATTATTCAAAATTCTCAGAATATGCATCAGTTTTCTCTATAAAATTAATTTTACACTTTTTCCTTCCCCCCCTTTTTTTTTCCAAAATATTTCTGGCTTTTTGCTGTAGCAGAATAGGTTGGGATAATTTTTAGTATTTTTGACACTGCAACATGGAAAGCTTAGAAGATTTGAAGGCAAGATTTATATAGACCCCACGATTTTAGAAGATTTGAGAAATATGTGACAAAATGAAAAATGTCTCCACGGTATCAACACGTAATGGATGTATTT